GAAACAGAGACAAACTCTCTACACCTCTCCTGATTTCCTAACCATCAATTCCATCCCTGATTGTTTCATCGCACAGGAATTTCCCCTGAATCTTAAACCAAGGCTTCCTTTGTATTCATTTTCTAAAATGTATTATGTTTTATATATTAGAAAACCATTTCCAAGTGTTTCACATACAACAAGGTCATATAAAAAAGAAAACATAAGTTTCATAAAAAGTCAGCCATAAAAATTTTAGCAACTTGAAATGTGAACCTTATTAGTAAGGGGTTGATTGATAAGCAAGGTTCAGTCAAACACATCTGGTCTCACTGGATTATTATGTAATTTCTCTCTAAAATAAGGAAATGTTCTTGGTATTCTATTGCTAAAACATGGCCAAAGGATTTTACTTTTTACACTTTAGAGAAGTGCTACACTGTTCGAATCTTAGAACATCTGACTCATTAAGCTCATACCATGCATTGTGACTAGTAAAAATAAGGTGAGATTTGAAAATAGAAGAGTTCCATGTGAGTGCATCCCATGACAGTTGCAAGCATACAAGGCTGCAGCTGGGGGAGGAACAAAGTGCAAACAGGCCACACTCACTACTTAGCCAAGGCATGTGTCCTAGACAGCTTCACAAATGGGGTGTTTTCCCATTTTACACGTCAGGGAAATCAGCACGCTACCAAGTGGTTGCTGTGAAGTTGCAATTTGTCAAAAGAAAGAATAAGAACCAAACAAAATAGAAAACACAATAGACAGCTCTTTTCTCCCAGAAAACTTCATTTCAACAATGTCGTTATACCATTTTACTGTTCTGATGTTGCATTTTCAAAAGATCATATAAAATTTTGCCCTAGAATTTGTTTTTGTTTTTCTTATGAAATAACAGTTTTTATTGTTTTAGTGGTATGGCAAGTGTTTCAAATCTTTAAAAGGCATGTAGGAAGGTCACGTCAGCTCTCCAAATAGCATCGGTGTCTTGTGGCTTCTGAGGAATAGAATTGGGGTTGCAGAAAGGGATAAAGCTCAGAAATCAGCTTTTCCCAAAACACAGTGTTCAAGTAAAATATTTCTGAGTTTCTACTAAATGCAGCATCTCCAAGAAATTCACTCACACCTTTGGTAAAGAAGCTTTCTGGTTTCAGCTCAGCACTTTGGTAAAAATTGCTGCCACACTTTGTCGTGCTCCTGTTTGTACAAAAGGATGTTCAAATTGATATCCTGTGTTAATCGACACATATTGTAAATAATAAAAGTTTTTACCAGTGTCCAAATTTTAAAAATCTTAAGCTATCTATGGAAATACTGTAAAATTTTTCTTGTTTTCTTCTTCAAATAAAATCACCTAACAAACTGAACAGGACAGTGATAAAGATTATACATCACTCTATTTGAGAAATAGATATATGGGAGTCAAATTAGCCAAACACTTAGCTTGATCATGTCTGAAGAATATTCTTGGGATTCAAATTTTATTTCCTCCAGTTTAACTGCATGAGCCCAAGAACTTTAGAGCTGTCTTTAAAAAAGCATGCCATCTATTCATTAAGAAGAAAAGAGAAGCAGGAAGGGATGTGATCTTTCAGTGGTGAAACTCATGTGAGGTACTGTAGACTATCATCCTGTTTCAATGTTCGTGCCTTGTGAACATTTCCCTCTTTTGTTGTCTACCAGTGAGGTAAAATGGTGAGCGATAGGATGAATTCAATCAGTAGAGAGAAAATCAATAATTAAGGCCGCTTTCAGTTATGGCATCTCATTCTCATTCCTTTCTTAACCTTTTTCAAAAATGAGTTGAATTTTCACATTGTTGGCTTAATGATAGATGAATCTATCATCTATCAATTAATCTAGCTTCCTAAAGACATATTCATTTCTCCAGCACCCTGCAATCTGGCTTCTGTATTTACTATTCTACTAAAATTACTTTGGCAGAAGTCACTAGTTATATCCCATTTGCCAAGCCCAATAGGCAAGTATAATACTATTGTATTATTCATCAATTTCCTTAGGTGGCCTCATGTATTCATAACTTCAACTACCTTACATGATGGTGACTTGCAATCCCTTCTGGACCTGCCATATGGGATTAGATATTTTCACTTGCATTTGCCATGCATATTTGAAACTCAAATTCTTAATGACAGTCTCACCCTTTACCACTTTCTCACCTCAACAAGAAAGAGACAACCCCACTCCTTCCCCACTGTTCTTGCTAGTCCTGAATATTGGATATTGGATGGTGGTCTTATTACTCTCCAACTGACCTTAATTGACAGCTAAGGGTGAAAATCATTGAGCACATGCATAGCATAGCAACTCAAGGGAAAGATAATGAAGTTTAAATGATTTCTTTCAGAACACTTAGTCCTCTAGTATGCTTTGGTTTTCTCAGATGTTTTCCCTAGGATGGAAGCCAGACTTCCACCTGGAGTTTTGACCTTGCCAATGCTGCCTAGACATGAGTTTACAAAGATCAAGCCCTGGACTGAGACCTCTAATGTGACATCAGTGAATAAGACACTTCTTTGGTCAACAATATTCTGTACTACTTATCCACCAGGCCCAATAACAACCTGCATATACTGCTCAAAATTGATGTTGCCCGTTTGTGCCTCATCCACAGCCTTGAACCTCTGCAGGGTCTCCAGGAGCTCCTCCTCCAGGGGGATGGGCCAAGGCATCGCTGCCACTAGGAGGAACTTCCAGCAGTCCACGAACTCAGAGTTTACCACTAATAAAGATGTTAACTCTTGCAACTAGAAGAAAATAGGAAATGTCACTGGAATATTTGTCTGGCTGTCTTGAAGCTCTGCGTGCTCTATACTTTCAAAGTCCAATTAGTTAAATGCAGGATGACCAGAAATGGCAGTTTTGTTAATTTTTATGCGATACTATAACAGGAAATATAAAAATGACAATTTTATCAGATTTATTCAGTAATTTTTTCTATGTATGATATATTTTAACACACATGATGCATGGTGTAACATTACAATTTGGAGACTAGAATCTAGTCTCTTTCCAAATTCTTTTTGCATTGTTTTTCTTTGAACAACACACTTTACACTATCATGTTGCCCTTTTCTTTTTTTCTGTAGGTGGTATAATTTCAATGAAATGTCTGCCCTTTAAATGTAATGGTGAAGATGTTGATGATGGATGTCCTGGTTGATGTTTTACTACCCCATATTTTTAATTACTTGCTCTATTAGACCTAATTTAATTGTAAAATACTTTTTTAAACCCCCTTGTTTTGAATAAATACCAAATGTGTTCCATTTTGTTTGGTCCAGGTACATAAATATTTTATAATATTTTTCCTTGCTTTTTAATTGTAGGATACCTTGTTAAATGTGTGTCAATGCTCAACACCACCCATAAAATTATTATAATCATTAACCACTATTGAAATTTTTTAGTTTTGTTTCTTCTTTAAGGTTCTATCATTTCTGTATTATGAATAGTTGACAATTAGGAGATGTCTTTTTTCTCTTTCCATTTCATAACATAGACTTTTCCTCTCTGATATGCTAACATTTCTTCCTTTTTCAGTTTTTTCTTTTGCAGATCTTTTGGCATTTCCTTCCTAGTCAGCCTCAATGTCCCTAACATAACCATTTTATATTGTAAAAGAATGTCACTGAGCTTTGGAGAAGTATAAAACATATCTTATGTACATATGATAAAGAGATTTTATAGATTGTAGCATGAAATTATAGTTTATTTTTCACAAATAAAATAAACACAAATTAGTAAAAGAAAATAACCAGAACTTATTTCACTAGAAACAAACATCAAAGGTGAATACAACATTCTAAGTAAAAAAGTATGCAAAAAATAGTTGATATAAAACAAACAGGTCAGGTGTGGTGTGTATGCCTGTAATCCTAGCACTCAGGAAGCTGAGACAGGAGGATTTCTGTGAGTTCAAAGTCAACCTGGGCTACAGAGTTCAAGGCCAGTCTGAACTACATAGTGAGACCCTGTCTCAAAAAACAAATAAACAAACAAACAACAAACAATCAGATGTACATTTGTTATCTCTTGCAAACAAGAATCAGCTGGTTGAAATGACACCTACCCAAGCAAGCTCAAAATAATCAGTGCATAAACAAATGCACTGCCCCAGTAACACTTGGGGTAAACTATTAAGTGGTTGAAGTTCAGATGAAAGAAGTCGGATTCTATATTGGTGAAAAGAACCAGTTACAACACTAGTTCCCTCTTGTTCCCTGTGTTCTACCAATCTACTCACACCAACTCCTAAGTGTTTTGCCATCTAGAAAGTTTCGCTTTTTTTTTCCTTTACATTTGTGCTTTTTGGCTTACTGTTACATACACAATTTACACATGGAACTCTATTAACTTCGTACCTTTTCAAAAGAGGAGAAATAAAGGTTATAACTGTGCTTGGGCAAGGGCACTACAGCTAACAGAAGAAACGTTCTTCTAACCGTTTTGTTTTCTGAGACATTCTTAAGGAAAAGATTACGAGGAAAATGGACTGCTAGAATCATTTACTGTTACTAGTTAGGACAATTGCATCAGTAGTGATAGAAACTCACCGCTTTGGCCTCACAATCTTTATAATATTTCATTGACTGCTGGATCATTAATATTCTTCAAATACTGAGCATGTGCATATTATGTGTATAGGTTTCAAGTTTATTCAAATTTCATTGACTGTTTACTAAATGTCAGAAACTCTATGAAAACTGGACATTTTAGAACTATTGACTCATTGATAAAATAAAAATAATATTAAAACTTTAAAACCCATACAAAATGGAAGCTTACTTCAGACTGAGAGAGATGCATCCAACTACTAGGAAGGCTATTTGTTCCAAGGTTCAGGGTTATCAGATCAAGCAAAATGTCAGTGAACGTTTTATTTCTTACTAAGCCTACAATAAAACGAAAAATATTTTGTCATTTATATTGTGTGATAAAGGTTTTATTCTTTCATTAAAATAGAAAAATAATAGGTATTTGTATAATCACTTCTTGATATTATTTAGCACTGTAATCTTTAGATATTTTGAATGTAAAAAAATATTTTTTCTGATGCCTTCTCATTATTGTTTCCCATTATTTGAGTCAAATGTCTCTTTTTTTTTTTGCCTAGTAATAATTCATTTGCATAAGATAGATTTCACTATTGGCATACATTTTAGTTTGAAGTCTTCTTATTCAAAATAGGTTGAATTTTTAAAAATATTACTCTAAAGTTTCCTATGTGCAGTACGGCATAGAGTAAACTGTTTTGGTAAATATAAGATAAACGTGTTTCAAATGCAGATCACCATTATAATCAAGGTAACAAATTTATCTTCATCTTTCCCTTTAGCTTTGGTGTTTCTTTGCTTTTTATAATAAGTGGGGTGATTTGAATTGTTAAATCATTAGATTGAAAGCACTGATTTAATCACTAAATTTGCAAAATATCTCTAAGCATTTCATAAAATATCACTAAACTTTAAAATGTTTTGGTCTTATGCATTACTCTATCTTACCCATCTAAAAGTGAGATCTACTTTGTTTCTTATTTCAAATTGCACACACATGTATTAAATAGGAAAACAAAATAAATGAATTTTTTTTAAAAAAAGTATAGTTCACCCACCCAACAGAGGTATCTTCTAGAGTCAGAAGACATTGCTAACATATATCTAGGAGTCTTTCAGGTCCAGAATACAAAAGCTATTCTTTGTTTAAGAATAAAAAGAATGAAAGAGATGCAGCATCCCAAAGTTTTACATCTAAGTTTTTGTCATTTCTAAAAGTCCTCAAGAACTTCATCATAACCTCTAACCCCTAGGGAAATACAGTGATCCCTTTAGAATGTCAGTGGTTCAAACCAAATATGCAATTTCAAGATTAGAAAGATAATATTTTGGGTAGCAAGTGAGGAACTTTTATTTCTTTGATATAACAACTAGAATCTAATTTTATAAAGATGATAATATTTTCCAAGGTAGTAGAATTTTCAGCAAGCAGAGCCTTTTATGAAACCACTTTGGTTTTCAGATAAATTAGGAATAAGTCAGTCATGTTTCTCAAGATGAAACTATGAATAAAATCTATTAAAGCCATAAAAAGAGGTAACATATTTAAAAGTTCTGCTAAGTGTGCAATATACTTCAGCCATTTTTAATGGCTGTAGTGGGAAACAAAGTGTCCGAAGGCAAAACTTTCAGTTTACATAAGAATCGTTTATTTGAAGATCTTAAGGTGAAATATGAAAACTATTTAATGTTTGACCTTGTTACTCAAGTGCCCAAAGCATGTAGTAGTATGATTTTCATATCTAACACAATAAGAGATTCACTTACAAATTTTGTTTGAAGATAAAAAAGAAACACTCTTTCAATTTGGCCCTAAGTAAATTGTTTTTGAAAATATTTTATTTATTTATTTATTTATTTATTTATTTATTTGATTTATTGCTGTGATCAATGGTGAAGTCAACATTTGTCACATCACTCATCACTTTCATCCTGGGTTTCTGAGTTTGATGAGCAATCTGAATGCGGTCCTGGGTCACCAGGTACAAATGATGTTCTTGTATTCCATAAATGGATAGCTTTCTTAGGATCAAAATTATTAATGTCTGGAGAATTCAACTGAATGATCAAGATATCTGTCATTCTGTCGGCCTTCACTTTAGCATGCAAATGTGACCAGGTACGTTTTATTTGACTGAAGCCACGTTCCGCTTCAGCTGAACATGCTGGGAGGGCTAGCACCAAGTCCACGAGGGTTAGAATATTCGGATACTTGTGGGAGTAAATGGAATTCACAAAATCCCAGGTCAATTTCTTAATGTTCTGAAATCTAGGAGGGAAGATAAAAAAGCATAAAAATTGAGACTTCTAAGTACCTAAATATTTAGACATATCAACTAGTTTATTCAGCTTGCTTTCTTGTTTACCTGGCATAAATTTCTAATTTTAACATGCTCCATTCAGTGTCTACTTCACCAATTTTAACACTGGCACCTTCTAATACTGGTTCATAATGTTCAGTCAGGATAGATACCTCTTTTTCTCCAAATTCTGCAATTAAGACACAACAAATATTCACCTATATAAGAGACTCATACGATTAAAAAAAAATAGATTCAGAGTCAGCACATACAGCTTACCTTGATTTATCTTCGTGGGCCACAATTTAAAGCTTCCAATCATGGTTGCCTTTACCACATCTGGGCTGGCATCTCTGAAACAGCCTTGCAGCCCCTTGATAAGATGTGTTATAACCACGTTTCTCACAGCAGAAATGTTTTCTTTTCCTCTGAGGCAGTAACCATGAAAGTGTGTGACTGAAGCTACCCTGCATTCTTTTGGCCCTGGTCTAGGGAGAAAAAAAATCACCCAAATAAAGAATTAAGCAAAACAAGTACCTGGAAAATAATTTTCCAAGTCAAACTGTGTGGTCTGACAAACTCTCAGAGCACCTTCCACCTCTCACCTTGTTTGATATATCTGGAGCATTTCCAGTGTTGCCTCCAATGTGGCAAATATGTCAGCAATTGAGGAATTTCTGTTTTGACTGACGCAGGACAGAATGCTAAGGACATTAATAACATCCAGCAAGAAATGGGCAAATTTAACAACATCAGCTTGGAGAAGCCGATCTAGAAGTTCTCTGGCTTTCTGTGGACTGGTGGATCCTCTGCCGTCACCTGTCTCCAACGTAAGCTGGAAATAACATGTTGGTCATCTTTCTCAAAGTTACTCTTCCAAGAAGCTCAATAAAATTATTTGTTTTTATTTGGCAGAAAGTAATATAATACGGCATTTCAATATTACTTACTGAATGCAGTTGCTGGACAATTGCAGGAAATCCCTTGAGAAAGTTCTGAAGGGCTTCTTGTAATCCGTGAAGCCACCTCTCGTCTTCTATTTGCGAAGGCATCACAGGTAGAAGCTGCAGGCTTTTGAAAACGGTTATCAGAGAACTCTTATCAAGAGGAGAGCTGTGGTAGAAGTGACAAATGCTGTGAAGGAGATCTTTGACGTCATTGTACAGAGGAATGCCCTGGAACACTGCCTTGTAAGATAGTTCAAGATGATGTGCAAAGCAATACACAATTTGTACACATGGTTGGATTTCTTTCAGAAGCAGAGACACTCCATTCTCTCCCTGCATTCCAAAGGCATCATCACTTCCAAAACCAACCAATTTCTTTGCCCAGTCTTCACTTGACAGCCTAAGTTGAAGATTTATCTCTAGAATTTTTTCAATGGCATTTTTTATGGTCACAGAATCCTTCATTTCTATTGTCTGTAACCCAACAATTTGACAATGTACTTTTCCTGCTTGAGCAAACTGCACGTAGACAAGTTCAGCTTTCTCCATTAAATTATCTATGATTCCATCACTGATGATAGAGAAAAATTTAGTTTTTTCTAGTTTTTCTCTCAGATTTTTTCGTTCCACTTCAGCAATAAAATATGTAAATGTCCTTGCTGATTTGTTAGTTCTGAAGACTGGGCCAATATCAACACCTTTCATATCATCCAACTTGCACATCCAAATAAAATCTTTGAGGGGGCGTCCAGTCTTAGCAATTGCATGGCATGACCTGAATAAGTTCTCTACTCTTCCATAGGTAACTTTGCTCATTGTCCTCACTGTTAGTTCAGTGGCTGCTCTGTTCACTGGAGAACTACTTGTTGCTTCCATTAACGAAGCTTTAGCATGAGCCTCGCTGATATGATGTGCATTGAGAAATTCAGTCCTAAAGTTGTCAGTGCCATAAAATAAACTCACTTGACTCCCCCCTGACTTCACTCCATGCTTTCGGCACAGGTCACAGAACATAAGATTTAATAACTCATCATATACAAGCCATGGATATTTTTTAAGCCAAATTTTCAAAAATTGATTGTTTGTCTTTGGAAGATAATGGTCAATTTTCCATTGTCTTTTCCGTTTTTCAGTGATTCGACTTATATCATCTGGAGGATTCCTGCCTTTAAAACAACTCCATGTTGTTATTTTAAGTAATCACAGTGCCCTCTGTTTTCTTAATTCCACCCCCACCAACCACACACACTTGCTCATTATTTCTGGAAAAGTTATATTGAATGTTTACTACTTATCAGGCATTCTGGTAAGAACTTTAACTGGTTTATATAATTTAATCCTCGTAATCCATTATCCCTCTCTTACAGTTAAGGACAGGGGCCAATTATTATCACCTTTTTGTGGATAAGAAAATTAGGTACAAAGTGATTCATTTGTTCAGTGCTGCTGTGTTCATAAGTGGGGCATCTGGGTTTCATGCAGAGTTACTGCATGGCCCTTGTGTCCATGCAGCTCACTCTCATGGCTTCTTGTGTGGGGAAAGGGTGCTATAGGCTTCACTCAAGAATCCATTTCTCCTCACAGAAGGACACTACTTTTCACCATTTTCCTTCTCATGATGATGAATGGAGAACATGGTGCTTGTAGTGGTGCATGTTCAAGATCTACTTGAGAGATCTCTTCCTCCTGCCTGAGTCCCACCCTTTCTGGCAATGGCATAGCAACCTTGTTAATTTACAAAAAGGATATCAGGCTTTGAGATCTTTCCCAGGTAGTTTGGTAAAGAAGCTGTGACTAATGCTGCATCATTTTTCTTTTCTCAAAAATTTTATACACATTTGATTATTTGCAAATTATATATATATATATGAAAAAATAAAAATTACACAAAATAAACTCCTCAAATACTAGTTGCTACCTGAAGGCACAGAACTTAACTTACAGTGCATATATATGTACATGTCCCTTTTACAAATTCTTTGATCTTAATGATTATTAAATTACAGATCCTCCTTGATTTATGTTTAGGTTATGTCTCAAAAAAACCTTATTTTAAGTTGAAAATATCTTAAACTGAAAATGCACTCATTACACCTAACCTGAACTTCCTCTCTTAGCAACACAGTACCCTGTAGAAATAGATTATATTCTTGTAGTCACATGGATGACTTGGAGCTGTGGCTCTCGACTGCTGCCCAGTATCACCAGGAAAGTGTCTTACCACATATGCTTAGCATAGGAAAGATCTAGATTCAACATTTTAATTTTGATTTCTACTCATTTATATCACTTTTGAACCATTGTAAAGTCCCAAAGTCATAAGTTGAATCATTTTAAGATGGGACCATCTGTATATTGTCATATTTTATCATATAATAAAAAAATTGAGTATATGCTTGTGTGATATCATATTAAAATGTCTAACGTTGGCACAGTATCATCAACTTTTTATTTTCACTCAATGCTTCATGATTCTATGCTTTGACCCCTCAACTGGATTATATAGTAAACTCTTCTGATCAGAACTATACTCATTTCTTTTTTGCTCCATTATCTATAGTTGCCTGCTAAGCCCTGAGAACTTTGAAGAAAATAAACCTCCCTAATCAGCTTTCACCATCTCATATCTCTTAACCTCTTTAACTGGGAACCTTTGACACTGGTTAGTATACCTCTGTCTTTCATACCTCATTTGCATCTAACTTCTCTTTGGTCTTTCAATGGGTCTTTTCTGCACTTGTTAAAATAGATCTCAATTTTTTCAAATTCTAAATGTTACAGCTTTTCATTTTAAATTATTCTCCTTGTACTGGACAGCTACTGCCTTCATTTACTTATGTGATCATTGGACTACTTGACAGTATTTTACACTAGGCCATGTCTGATGTCTGCTATATAGACATAAATGTTGGTCAATAAATGAATAAATGTGTGAAAAAGAGTCTCTTGTCATAGGATAGAGCCTTAATTTCCACTAATTTATGTAGTTCTTATGTTTTTAGCTTTGTAGTCAGATATTTTATGAAAGATATCATCTTGAATTCTAAGCATATAATTTCATTGTCCAAAAAACTTCTTAGGCCTCACAAGACTTATATTTTATCCCGAAGACACACTTGAAACTCTGCCCACCATTTTATCAGTTACAAAGGCTTCTAGATCATTGCTGTATTTCTTTGATCTGAATCTGATCTTGTGAAAGGAGTTCACCATTGAGAGATCCACAGGATGAATGTGAGTCTTGATCCTCTTTGGTGCCACGTAGTGAGATAATCCCAGTAATAATATCCATGCCTTTGCAGTGTCCCTTCTCTAAGAAATGTTTCTGTATTTCTTGATTTAGGAAAATGTCAGATTAATTTAAATGTCAAATCATTTTACAGATCAAAGTATTTGCCTATGATATATAATATCATATTTTTATAATTTTCTGAGTCATTAAACCTTTAAACCCACAGAACTTCCTAGTTAGCACTTTCAAGTGACAAAACAGGTGCCCTTGAGGCTTTGTAAAGAAATTTTTTCTGCTCTTTCTAGACAGTTTCTTGCCCTTGGAGTCCTTTCTCTATGTCAGTTGACTGTTAATGCTTTTGATAAATAATCCTTCCCTGTGTGTCCTTTGCAAGCCACTCAAGACTTCACAATTGACCTTGAGCATTTTGTGGCCTCACCTCCTGCTCTTTGTCACAAGGAGACTGTTTTCTGTCATGCAATTTCAAAGTCTCCATGTCTGCTCCATTTCTCCTTGTCTTGCAGTACTCTTCTCCTGGTTCTCTCCCTGAAAGGTTCAATTTTAGAAGCCTCCTTTGGGCTGATCCTCAAGCTGTCCTACATGGAAAACAAGGACTACCTCTTCCATTGACTCTTGCAAAAGTATGTAGCTGAATGATGCAGCTCAGCGCTGTAGCCTAGAGTAGCATATGTGTCCTCTGTCTCTGAACCCAGTCAATGAATCTAAGGCTCTCCAAAGGAGAGCAGTGTTAACAGGCCTTAAACACCTAAATGCTGCCCCTTTTGAAGAAGGACTGAGAATGTAAAAGTTGCTGGACTGAGTTCTCTCCAAGTAGCTCCTTAAAAAGAAGTCAAAAGAACTATGAACCAAATCTCTACAGGTATTATATATACTGATAGGCTTTTGAGAAAAAGGCATTATAATGATTTATGTGGGGACAGGAGAATACTGTTAAAAGTGCTCTAGTTTTAAGAAACTACAAAGTGCTTCTGTTGACACTGGTTATGTACTTTTGGATGTTTAGAGTTCCCCAGGAGCCATATGACTTCATGGTTAATTCTATCAAGCAGCATTTTTTTTAACTGGAAGCACTCTGGGATAATTTTGCAGGTGCTTGTTAGGATATTTGTAACCATAGGATACCAAACTAACATTTTAAATAACAATAAATTAGTTTTTATCACTGTTGTATGATTTTATGTATTATAGACTAATATGATATTACTATAATTACATGATTAAGTCATAATGGCTTATATTCCACTCAAACTGCAATTTCTATGTACTATATTCTCTCTAAAAACTATAAATATACAAATTACTTGAAGCCTCCTAACAACTCCATGAAATAAGTATCTTTACTATCATTTTTACAGATGAAGAACTGAGACAGAAATTAAACAACTTGCCACCATTTGACAAGACATAGACTTAAAAAGAGCTGTCTGATTCTGGCCATCTCATCACAGGTTAAGGTGGGTGAGAAGTAAATTAACACATGAAAAATGCTAGCATAGAGTCTGATACATAGTGACTGTGGCAAATTCCCTATTGTAATTCATAACATATTCATTCTATCTCCTTCTGGGCTGAGAGTATTCCTGGGATGACAGTCAAAGAAAAGAAACTGGCTGTTTTAGACTCAAGTCACCCTATGATTCTGACATATAGATGGATCTTTGCTGTTTAGCAGGAAAAATGCAAGCATGATCAATTGTTTCACTGGATTTTGCATGATGTTGCTTAATGATCATGCATAAGTTCATTTTTGTCTGGCATATTAATAACAATCATATGCATGAATTGCATTTTATATCTGATCATTACCTTTGCCAAAGGAGGTTCAGAGAAATCACAAAAGGTAGAATTTGACCAGAAAATGAGTAAGAAAAATGAAGTGACAATATATGTGGCATTAAAGCACTAAAAGGAAGGAACTAAGGCTTAAGGAACTTTCTGTAGAGTATTGTTTGATCTACTTGAAAGTAAAAGTCTACATTAAAATAGTTAAGGCTATTCTTTCCTTTTATATCCTGATACTAGCTACTCACCAGTATTTAAAATATTAAGTCACTTGTTTTAATCAAAGGTTACCATTTCTTCAGTAATTTTATTTGTGTAGCATAATTAAAAATTGCAGAGTATATTTAATAATATCACCATTCCTTATAAATTTGCTTAAAAATCTTACTGTGTGGCTAGTAACATTATGACTGTTATATGCAAACTTGAATGCTTTTTTCCTAAAAAATCTGTATCAGGACTAATAAAAGCATTCTATCTGTTCATCATGTTTTTACAACTTTTAGTGAAGATTGAATCTTAGATATAAATTGCATGAACATGTAAGCAACTGTATAAGAAATTGTTCATATTTCTTGGGTTAGAAAAAAGAACTTTCAAATTCAAGCAGGAGGCTCTGCAGGATTGCATATTTAGAAATGTATCACATTCAGTCAATTGTTCCATACTTTCAAAGCTCTTATCACTTCAAGTGAGTTTGTCTTTCAAAATTGTAGATTATAGGGTAAGTAAAATGAAAAGCACAACAGACTACTGCCTTCCAATTCTTGGAAGGAATTAAAACCATGTTTTCATTTAAAAGGTGAATGGATGTGCAAAAAATAAATGTTACAGGTGATGGATATGATAATTGCCCCAATTTGATCATTATATATTGTATACATGTATCAAAATACCACACTACATCCCATAAATATGTACAATAGCTATGCATCAATTAAAAAAGAGCCCAAAATACACCCAAGTGTCTACCCATAGAATAGGTACATATGTTGTAATATAATCTCCAGAAGAAAATAACATAATTTCATTCAAACAGAAAAATGAACACGCAACATTAACACTATTAATGTTCATGTAACCTGGGTAGAGATGAAGGTGGTGACTCCAAGTGAGCACCAAACAGACCACTCTTGAATTGGCCTGTGTCTTGGGCTAGGGGCTGTCTACCCACGTGTGTTCACTTTACAGAAATTCATTGCTCTGTACATTTTCAGCAGATATATTTTCCTGATGTATATGGTACTTCAATACATTTTAAAAACTTTTTGAAATCTATGTTTAACATAGAAAATTTGGAAAATATTATTAAGAAGAAAAAAAATAATACCCTTTAACACTCTCATAAAAGAGATGAGTGGGTGTGTATGATTAAAGGTAGTAAACAACAATTGCAGAACTGAGTTTGAAAGTCTAAAGTCAGTGTCTATTTTATGGGGATAAGAGTGATGGGGAGGAGTGAGTGATAATAATTAGATTCTCTTAGGGAGGCCAATATCAGTATTTGGGGTCTGACTTTGAAGGTGCCAGGAGAAAACCTCCAATTCTGTGACCCTAAGATACAGAAAATGGGGTGATCATTAATTTTTTCTTCCCTTTAGAGTAACAGCGAAACAACAATGAGCAATACTTCTGATAAAATATCTAACACAATAAGTGTTTTACATATACCTAGAATTAATATATATATTTTTTCTTTTAGATCATAATTCATTTTGAATTATCAAAATCCTTAAATCACACAGCATTATACACTTTTATGAATTCTGTCCTGATGACAACTTCCAGCTGTGTTAGTTCTCCAGCCAGAGTGAGTACAGGGGGCTCCTTAAATAAAACTTCCCCTTCCATTCACCTGTAGTTCATGTAGCTGGGGAAGGAAATGCTACATCTCCTAACCATTCCTCTACCATTCATTTTCCCATCCTCATACCTCAGAGGTACATGTTTCCTAGCAGCTGTTCTCTTAAATTTAAATATCTTCTAGATCCTTGCCACCAAATCACTCTTTACTCCCCCTTCGCTTTTTCCTCAGGCATTTTGCTCCACAAAGTTTTTCCTGCCCATCCTCATGGGCTGCACTCTGATTCTTGTTGGCACTCTTGAGCACTTTCAGCAAGTGCTGATACTCTCCCAGAAAGAACCCACTTTTTTATTTTCTTCTTCTTTACTTACATTTTCTAATTACCCTCTAACTTCCTTAGTAAAAGTGGTCTTTTTTTTACTTGTGCTTTTTTATAATTTTAAGTATTTCCCCCTTTTCTTCCTTCTCTTTCTTTGTTCTTCTCTCTTCCTATTTCTACCATGTTCTAAAACTGTTCTGCTCTACTGTGGAGTTCCTTGCAACACCCAACAGGTCAATGTCTGCTCAAGTTCACTCAGGAAAACTGCTAATTCTGAGGAGTTGAAAGGTCTTACAGAAGAGATGTTTTGCCAGTTTGAGCAGAGATGGGCCTCATGGGGAAAACAAGGAAGCTCCTGAGGGAACAATCAGAAAAAGTTAATTATTCAGCCAAACTGTCACCATGCCTTGCTTCCTAAAACAAACACCTGCACTCAACAGAACTCTAAGCCTTTGTGGTTCCTCAGTAAGTCTGGGGTTTCAGTCAGTTCACGGCTTCACTCCATTCCAGTGAAGATGCCTGGCCCCTCAACAAAAATATTCTATCTCTTGCATCCTCATTCCTCTCTCCAACAGGGTTTGGAGCTTGGAACCTGGAACTCCAACATATTCTGAAAACTGATAAATGTTGTCTGTTGACATCTTTTTACCTGAAAAGATTCTGGAGTTAATCTAAACTACTGCTGGTTTTTTTTTTAACAAGTGATTTTTGGTATGGACTTCTAGAAATGATGGACTACTTTTTTAAAGGTGTCCGCTGACTGGGAAAGAGTGATGCTGTCCTAAGAGGTTAGATACACTGGAAAATAAACTAAACTTCTTTATAAGGGGCAAATGAGTTCAGTGAGAAGGACTAAGAACCTTAAATCTGCAGAGTTCTGAATAATTTATAACCATAGGCAAATTACTTAAATGCTGTGTGACTTAGTGTTTGGTCCTAAAGCATACAGGTGACAATCCTGCATGATTGCTCTGAATTCCATGTGGAATTCATTGAAAAATAACTAGAAGTGGGAAAATCCTGAGTTGTAAAGTCTGTGCAGCAGCTATTGAGCCACAATAATAGAATGCAAAGGAATTAAATAATTTGTGCACAAAAAATAAGATGTGCACATATATTTGAACAAATTAATTAGGAAAATATTTGTTAACATTTTGTGTAGTTTTACTCAAGGTTCATGAAACATTGAGAAAAAGACAAATATGAAAGGTACCTCTTGGGTTGGGGATTTAGCTCAGTGGTGCGGTTCCTGCCTCGCAAGCGCAAAGTCCTGAGTTCAATCCCCATTACCGAATAAAAAAAGGTACCTCCTCTGCTCCCTAGTCTCCCTTCACAATGTACATAGAAGCACAAATTCATAATCCCAGTATAAAACCTAAACAAGAATTATGCACAAAGACTGTCTTCCAACTGATAGAGCTAATAACTTTACCAACTTGCCAGCAAGGGAGGGGTTGGACAGTAGGGAAAATTTACCAGGATTGAAGAGCATCATACTGCTCAAGTATTACATAGTCATTGTGATTCTCCTGCTGCTTTAATTCAAAGTATGCTATGCAGAGCAACAATTATCTGATATACTAGAACATAGCAAGGAGTCCTTGTGGTGTCACAATGTCCAAGAGAGTTAATTTCACTTGTGGAGAAGTGGATATCCCAGTGAATCATGATCTTTTTTGTGTTCTTTTCATAGTTTTCATACCTTTAGGGGCTATGTCCAAGAACTGATCTCCAAGATTGCCAAGCTGTTCAATGGTCAGGGTGCCATTTTCTTCCTTTTCTACAGGCAGAGGACGAGTTGGTGGAGGAGGGTCTGGGAAGACTTTTATATCGTCATTAATGAAGAAGTCTTCTTGGCCTAAATAAAGCTCCTTCTGAATTTTTGTAGCTGTTTCAATGTGATAGCGAGCTACTTCAGTTAATTTTTCTATACTGAAAGTAATAAAATGAACAGGGTTATCTCTGTTAAAGATCCTATTAGATTCACAGTGTTTGCTTATGAGAAATACACACAGAAATGCACACATTATAAAGTTAAGTTAGACAATTCAATCTGTATATTTAAAAACTTCAATTTATTCTCAAATCTATTTTGCAAAAAAAAGTATGCATAAATGCAGATTAAACTCAAATATGTACTTACTGCATAGCCAATAGTTACACATGTTGTACAAAAGTGAACAAAAGAGGATTCATTAAACATGGGTCTTACTAGTATTGGAGAATATGTTACTGTATAAGCAGTACGATATCAGAGGTTAGATCCCATTCTAAGTGTGAACCAGAATAAGATGATATGGCAGTTTACAATGTAAAATATGACTGTTAGAATAATATATTTTATTTAAAATCAGAATAAATTTTGAAGTGAGTCAAATTTGATAATATAGTTCCAGAAAAGTGGCTTTTGTCCAATTTTATATCAATAGGTTTAATATTATCTAAGATGCAGTTGCCAGAATAACCTCTGATGCATAAAATCCACTGCCACCACATTGCTATCTCCACAAAAGTGACCATTCCTAAAAAGCTCCTGTGTCTATAACCAGCTACAGTCAGGGAGTATTATGCTTCAGTAGAAAGAGCACTGGATCCGAATTCTCACCTAGGACTCTTGCCATGGGCCCTGTAGCAAGTCATTTAGGCTCTCTGAATCCTCTACCTTCTCCATGGAGCCAATGACACATCTCTCTTTTCCTTGTTTTGAAATCGTATAGGTAAGGGACTCAAACTTTACGGAGGATATAGTTAATGGTCCCATAAAAGGTCATTTTAAAGGCTAGAGAGATTTTATATATGAATATGTAAAATACCACTGTGTTGAAGAAAGGATCCTATTTATATCTTATAATGAAAAGTTGAACATCACAATAAAATGCTCATTTAATCTGCTTTTATGTAATTAGGATTACCAACATATTCATACACTGAAAAAATAGTATTGGTTACTGTCTTTCAAAGATGTCCTTGAATTCAACTCCAGAATGCTGTCTTTGGGAGTATCAGTGTAGTATGCATTAGCTAGTTAGTTTATTATTTAAAGTGTGTCTGTGCTGGGGAACAGATGAGAAGGGCATGTGGTAGTAGCTACTGAGGGTACCCAAATGATGAGAATCTCCATATGTAGACTGAGGCTCAATCAAAACCAGGGTCTCAAACAGGTGTGCACCACCTAGTGGAAAGTTACCAGAGTATGAAAAGCAAAGTAAAAGATTAATGAAGGGAAAGGGAGAATAGATCTTACACAAATGGAAGGGGGACCAAGAGACCAAGGGCTGGGGGAAGGAGAGAGAGGTAGGGGACATAAAAAATTAAGATGTGTCATGTATGTGACCTACCCATAATGAATGTAACTACCCATTATGTCACAAATGTGAACTAATAATAATTAAAAAATATAACAAAAAATGGAAGGGGGTCTAGAGATGAAGGGGAGGGAGGATGGTAGGGAGACGAAGGGGAATAAAAAGGATCAAGATATGTTAAATACATGTATCTACTCCCTAATATGAGTGTAAACATCATGTACATTAAACATGTATTAATAACAAATTAAAAAAAGGATGGAAAGGGGAAAAACGTCAGTAAAGAGAAAAGCAGGATTTGAAGTTCAAAGAGATTTCATCCCCCCATACTGATCACATTTCTGGGTTTTTAACTTCTCTTCTTGTGGTCACAATGCATGACAGCACCTATAGATTCAGAGAGTAGAAATATCTAGGACCTATGAGTACACTGGATAAAAATAATACCCATTTATACTATGGCCACATGGATGAGTCCTAAGAACGAGGAAGACATGTTTTCACTTGTAAGTAGCAGGCACAGAGCAGAACTGTGGGGCTGGCACTGACTGAATTACCCTGACATATGTGTGCTTGCATCTTTTTTTAAATCTCTCTCTCTCTCTCTCTCTTTTTTTTATACTATGGAACAGCAGTTCTAAACAACTGGGTTGAAGATTTTACATGAAACTTTCATTATGACACAAGAACTGGATAAAAGAAAGCCAAAAAGCTTTTTTCCCCTATGGTAGTTGCTGTTTCTGAGAATACTTACCATTGGTATCCTATTTACTTAGTAATTTCTAAATTTTCAGTAAATGTTTATAGCCAATTGCAGTGCATTACAGAATTTAGATCAAGTAGGAATTTCTGAAGTAGCTTGGTGTAGTGTTTCCTTTTCTAGATAAAGCTGATGAAGCCCAAAACAATTAGGCATGCTACTAATTTGTGGAAAATGTGAGACTCCTGGGGTCCTTTCTGCACAATCAGGCTGCTGCTTCTCAAATAAGAGCATCTGTATTCTGCGGAGCTGCTTCTTTATGCCTTTTAGGGGAGAAGAGTAAGACACTGACCGCCCCTCACCAGCAGGAAGAGTCTGTGAAGCCCTTGGAACTCAACAGAAAAGTACAGCTAAGTATTAGGCTTACCAGGGAATCAGCCTAACTACGAAAATGAATGACTTTTTAATCTCTCACTAATTTGCTCTTATTGATAAGTCTGGCATTGGGAAGGTATGGAATACAATCTTACTTCTGAAAAATATTTTAAAATGATCTATAAACTTACCTACACTGAGGTTCCCATTAAGTAATGTGAAAACTGAACACATAAATAATATACAAAATTGGGTATTTTCATAGAACCCTTTCACACATGCCTTACTTACTGGTTGCAAAGAGGCAATGTAAATGCAATAGCAAAGCTGACTTCACATTTTTATAAATAAGATTTCCTGAAAGGTCAAATTTAAATTTGTAAAGGTAATTAAAATTTGTAAACACCTCAAAAATCCTTGCCGATTTTGGCACTCAAAAATTAACAAAATGTATTTTTAAAAAGAGATGCAGTACTTTACCTGGCCATTTCATTCAAATACCTCTCACCAAGCCATTTTTCCATGATTTTATAGACATCAATCACTTGTATTACTGCATCTTCAAGGACAGTCAATGCTTTTGCCTTTATCAGTTCAAGTCGAAACTGTGTAGCTTTCTCTATTTAAAAAGAGAAGTAAGTATTTTTCATGCATCTCCTAATAAACTGAATTCACTCTTAAGCCAGTCATGCTTTGGTTTGTGAAGCTACAGGAGCACATTAAATACAGCAATGCATATAAGGTAATATCCATCTTCATTAAAAAACAAAATGTAATGTATGTTAGAGTCATTTGAGAAATTATTGAAATGAAACTACAGTTGAATTTCACATTTATTATACTTTAAAGTAATATATTCATCTATAAATGGAGTGGGAAATACACATATATGATTTATGAATTTTAAAAAGCAGGGGGACAAAGTTTCTTGCTTATACTCTCCCTACTTTTGAACCTTGGGGTGGCAGTGCCATTAAATTTTTCAGCAATGCTAAAATTAGGGGAAAATGTACATTTCCCTGGACCTATTGCTGTTGCTGGCACATTGCAAGGTCTGGATTTTACTTCCAAAATATCCTTCCAACCTCTCTTCTTGGATTTTTCCATTCACTGACCTAGTTTGGGTACCGATTATCTCTAATTTAAATGATTGCAATAATTTCAACCCTGCTTTTCATAATATCCTTTTCTCACAATTCCATATCACCTCAAACTATCTGGGGTAGTCTGAATATTCTGTCTTTCCTGCAAATGTGATCATAATAACTCTTTTTCTGCCCAGAGTTTTTCATTAGCTCTCAGTTACAATAGGGAAAATTTAATTTTGTTGGCAGAGCATATTTGACCTCCAGGGTTTGGCTTCCCACCGCCTAAGTCACTCCTTCTGCAATCTGAGTAGCTCATACTCCTTCATCTATTCGCCAGAGGTCACCATCATGCTCCTTGTCACCTCTCTGCCTTAGCACATGGTTCTCCTCTCCATTCCCACTCTGGTTTGTCCTCTGGCCAAACTTACCCATATTCTTAGTTCCTCTGGAAAGTCTTGATATCTTCCTGCTCCTGCTTTGTCCCATATGCCTATCTACAATATCACAGTACATTGTAAATGATTGTAGCACTTACATCTCTCTTTCTCTGGACTTTATTTTTTGCTTGTTTTATTGTTGTTCACACACACACACACATATGTCTTCAGCAAATATCACACAACTTGGCATAGAGTGAAACTCAATAATTCTTTTTTTTGGGGGGGGGTAGTGGGGATCAAACTCAGGACTTGGCACCTGCAAGGCAGGCAGCAGCACCACTGAGCTAAATCCCTGGCCCTCAGTAAACTTTTATTAAATGAATGAGTGATTTTTGCCACACTAAGGATCACATGTTGAACAAATTGAAAGATGAAACCTACTGGATACCATTGGAATCAGATGTGGTGACAGACAATGGGAGAGAAGCATATGCCCTGACTCTCTTCATACCCCAGGTTTCCCTGCGTTCAGTGTATTAATTTTACTTCTGACTAGGGAAGCAATGGTAGTAGGATGGGAATGGAGAAAGAGGAAAGAGAAAAGGAGAGAAGCCAGAGGTGGAAAGCATCCTAAAGAGGTAATGGTCCCTGAGTAGCTAAAGGTGTCCCAGCTTATTCAATACTGCACTTTTAGGATTTTGTCATCCAGTATACTGACTGTGGTTCCTTTCCACAGGCTATTTTCTGCTCAGCTTCTGAATATTTCAAATTCCATTTTGAATTGCACAGTAAGAGATTGATATGAGCCATAAGACAGTATGTCTTAGAGAGTTCTTGCTATCGATAGGGCAGAAAAAGGCTTCAGATACTGGAGATACCTGGTAGGCTCTTTTATGGTCTATGTTCCAAGAATTTACTGTAAGGCCTGTTGGCCTTTGATCAGGGCTTATTTTCTTAACGAGAGGCCAAAATTATTATTATTGTAACATAAAACCACTTACTTTAGGTAGCTCTCTCACCTAATCCTGTAAAATCACACCCATTTTCAAATGCTGTATTTTGTTTCTATTCTTTGAGATTTTAATTACCGTTCTTGCTCTTCTAACCCTTACCAAATTCTTTTTGTCTCTTTCAGGCAGTGAAATCTATTCCTCCTACAGCCAAATGAAAACCACTAACTGAATGTTGTCTTTCAGTCTCTTTGTTTTGTCTTCTCATAAATACCATCTAAGGCAACTTATGAGATGTGGTGGGCTATTTGGCACTGGTGTGCTTTCTACTGGAGAGCGTCTTCTCAGTTGTGTTCCATTGATACCTTCAAATTGCAAGGCAGCAATGTGTTCTTCCTTTATTTTGAGGCTCAGTTCATTTTTTCTTTCTATTTTGGCCATCTCCTCCGCTGTCACTATCACAGAAGTGGCTTCTTCTATAGGTGGTGATTTGTCTGAAAAAGCAATGGAACATGCTAAGTAAAGGACCAACAGGAGTGTATGCATATGGTGCCTTGACAGAATGAGCACAAAAAATGTCTGTAAACATCCAGTGGTTTAGAAACAAAGAACCTTGGTCTTCTCAGGGTGACAGTGTGAGTGATGAAGTGCTGATAGTCCTTCCTGGATAATTCTCCTTGTGGTATCTGAGCTGGACTCCTAAAAATACCCCAATTTGTACAGCACCATAGAAAAGATGTGTAAGTGCAGAGATGATTACAGAATCTAAAAGCAATGAAATTCAGTGTATAGGGACAGAAACACCAACATACTGTGCATAACATGAGCCACCACCTGCAGAGGTACTACTCCATGGGGACTCCTTTTATTAGTTTCCCAGGTCATTACCAAGAGAAGACAAGAGGATAACCTCAAGAAGATATGGCTGGCATATAGGTGATAATCAAGAATCTCTATAGCCTACTTACCTTTTTTTTTTTTTGCTTAAATTCTTTTACTGGTACATTTCAGATATACAATACGTTCACATTCATCATTGGGTGCTTGTACCTGTACATGATGTATCGTGGTTCTTATTTTTTCCCCATTACCTGTGCACCCTTCCCCTTCCACCCTTCCCTATTTACAAAGACTTTGTTTCCATTTTTTCCTTTCCTCGTAAGTTTTCCTTTCCCTTCTTTCCTTTCCCCTTCCCCTCCCACTTCCCCTACCCCTTTGGACCTTTTCTTCCTATTTCAAATTATCAATTATTTGTTTTAATCATTTTAATCCTTATTTACACTTTCAGTTTCTCACATTAGAGAAACTATTCGGTATTAACACATGTGGTAACTATGTGCATTTCAATAATTGCATAAGAGAATTGGAAAATGAAAATTTCTTAGTATTTGTCTGAGGATTTACCTACAGGAAATGGTAGTGTGATCCTAGCTACAGGCCCACTTTATATAATCCTAACAAATCTTTCTTCACCAAATCTTGTGAAGATGACTTAAATGTAACACCAAAAATTGTAAAATAATATTTATTGTAATAATAGATGAATTTATAGATTACAAAAGAAAGAGAGATTAATTACTCTGGATTTCTTTTTTATCATATCTAATTATGGGATTGGACTTGATTATTTCTCTAAAAAGAAGAATTTCCTTCAGATGCTGCATATATCTTTTATTTGTTGATCATACCAGATGGAGTAGTGTATTCTACATTGAGGTGTCACCCTTCCCTTTGCTTCAAGTGACTAACCACCTCTCCCCATCCTTAGTGCTTTCCCTTGGCTCCTATCATGGCTGCTTAAGGGTAGTCCATCTAGTAAGTGTGCCCTTGTCCCCTCAGATGGCATGAGTGGACCTTGTCCTTGAGCTACCTGGACCTCCCCTATCAAAAATAATTACTTTCAAATGTCTGTCTCTGCTATTAGACTACAGTTATATAAGTGGAGGGACCATAGTTTTCATTCTTGGTTTTGTTTTTAATTCACTGTTGTGCGCTTGACACCATCATAAACTGTTTTTGCAAAATAAATTCCCAATAAATACATGACGGTGATCAATAAGTAGAGTAATTCTTCATGTGCTTCCCACTTTACCTTTCTTGTCTCAAGTGCCTCAAAAATGTACAAGTGAAAATGTTCAGAGGGGTTGACAACATTTGTGCTAATGCTATTCTTGATTAACTGGAAATGTCTCCCAGCCTGAGTTTTTTTTCCTCTTTGTTTTCCCTTCATGTCTCTGAGGCAAAGATTTAGGTAGAAGGGTCCAGGAGGGAGGGACTTGCTTCAATTCAAGGGCTCTTACAACAGCCATCATGAAGCTTTTAAATTTCTCCTTGCTGAAGCAAATGTCACCCCTTTATATGGACACCTCAGATTACATAGTGTCATCTTGGAAGTTCTTTTAAAATGTTTAAAACTTCCTGTGAGTTATCTCACTCTGAACATTTAGCTATTTGGATAAAGATGTTAGGTGGACCTAGAATATAATGGGATTTGCCAACTAATCTTACAGTTCATAGAAGCCAGATCTCTAGTTTAAATAAAATGGCCAGTAATAGAGGTTAATGCGCCCGGTTAAATGCTTGTTTTCTACAAAGGGGAGGTTGAACCATCTGGGGTTCTAGGGGGTAAAACCACATTACCTTTTGCTTTTTTGTCTGCCTCTTTTTTCTTAGTTGCCTCCTTTTCCTTCTTGACTTTTTTATTTGCACCCATCTGGGGAGATTTTTCTTTTGAGTCTGCTGGCTGGTTTCCTTTTTCTTCTTCCATGAGTCTCTGATGAATTTCAGCAGCCACCTAGTTATACAATGACAATACCTTGATCACTGTACATTCATGAATATGATAACCATTGGATTTGGTCATCACTAGATTCCATTAAATCCCCATTCTGCTACTAACAACCCTGACTTTGTACTCAATCTTGGCAGGACACACACTTCCATTGAACTTGCCCTGTCCCAAATGCTGCTCCCCTGCAGCCTCTGAAAGGAGATTTTCACTTCCTCAAGTCCAGCCTGCAGTCTGCAGATCATTCCTACGTGTTCCCATTGCCACCTCCAGATAATGACAATTCCATGATTATGTCAAAATTCCATTGTTTTAACTCTCAGACTTTGTGATTTTAATCCCTGCTCTTTTTCCATGTTCCTGTTATCTCTTGGTCTCCAGTGGAGGGATTACCTATATCTGTGTTTTGTTTTGTTTTTTGGTACCGGGGGTTGAACTCGGGTCCTTGTGCTTGCGAGGCAGGCGCCGGAACCACTGAGCTAAATCCCCGGCCTTATATCTGTGTTTTTAAAACTTTTTTTCATAATTGAACCCCAATGGAGAGGTTTTTTTTTCTAATTGAATTTTCTTTAGTGAAATTATACTATTGCAAAAGTACATATGTTTAAGTACTACTGTGTTTTATATATAAGATGATACTTTTCATGCCCCTCCAATTAATCTTGAGGAACACATGCTCTATTTTAATTGGCTCATGGACACTTGAATCTTGGGCTTCATTCTACTCTAACACTAGATACTGTCCTAGAGGACTCAGTTTATGAAGACCACCTGAGCTGCAGCTAACCTCCTAGCTCACAGATCCCTGTACTCAGCTGACTTTCAGCTTCTCTCCAGTCCGGCAAGCCCCTCCTTTCACTCTCATGAGTGTCCTGATTAAAGGGATGCTAGTCACCCACCCACAAGTGGCCCTCCACTCCTTCTCTGAGGCTGGCTTTGCATATCAGGCTACAGAAAATTTCTCTCAGGACTACATGATTGAATTTGTCTAGTAGCCATACACAGAATGACAAATACTCTATGTTTCCATTTATTATTACCTAAAATATTCATACCCTTAGAAGTAGACAGTAGAATTTTAGAAGTAGAGAGGTAGTTTTACCAGGGGATGAAGTGGGTTGGGGGAGGATGGGTAAGATGGGTAGAATAAAGATGTTGGTCAGAGTTTTAGTTAGATGGAAGGCATAAGTTCTGGTGACCTATTGTATAGCATGGTGACTATATTATATTGTTATACTTCAGAAGTTACTAGAAGAATCAATTTTAAATGTTTTCACTGCAAAAAATGAAGTGAGGTAATAGATATGTTACTAGCTTGGTTTAATCATTTCACAGTGTATGAAAATATGAAAACATCCCATTGCATGCCATTTATATATGCAATTACTATTCTAAATTAAACTTTAAAATATACATGTATGTGTACATGTATATACATGTATATACACATACATATACATCCCAGTGGAGTCATTCCAGCAGTTAGAAATACTAAACCTTTTGAACTGAGTCCCATAGCCTTTGCGGAAGTGAAGGCTCTTTATGAGGGCTGAGAAAGGGGTCTCAAGGGAAGAAACAAAGCATATATGCATTACGGAGGCGGTAATACCATAGATTGAAAAGTTTATGAACTTTAAAATTTCAATGAACTAACTGGTTACGAAATGAGGGGCAATGATGACTTATTTATATGATTCCTAGCCTGATATTATTTGTGGGGAAAATGTGAAGGAAAGGAAGGACAAAGAAGATGATTGATGGAGGTAAATAGAAAGATGAATAGAAATATTTACCCTCAAAGGCCCTTACAGTCTCGTGAGCAAGATAGACCATTTGGGTCTTACCTGCTCCAAATTCCTGCCATACTTGAGAGTGCATGGCTTAGCCTATAACTGTCCCCAACTGTTTCATGAGAAAATCTCACCCTACCCTTCAAACAGGCTTCATGATTCCAGAGCTATGCCCATTCCTACACTTTAGTTTTCAATATATCTTGGGGTACATATGCTATGTTCACAGAAAATATCTAGTAATTGATAACATTTATTTTTAAATAATCATATTACGCAGATAAACCTACAACTTCTTCAAAACAAAAGCACCTTGGAGCACCATTAAGGTTTTGAGAGCAAGCCAGTTCTTTTGTTTCAGGCTTTTTCTTTTATTTTTTTAAATTTTTTATTTATTTTATTTTTCTTTTCATTTTTTTGGATAAAAATGGATTTCATGTTATATACCCTACTGTGCTTTCAAGTTCTTAGTAAAGCTGAAGACAGGCTTAACATTCCCCTCTAAATTATAAGCAATTCATTTTTTACTCTGCTCTTGCTAAGCATTGTAAGCTAACAATTTCCTTTAAAATTACATTTTTCTCCTTTGTAAACAACCTTGTGGTGATGATGATGATGATGATGATGATGATGATGATGATGATGATGTTGATGATGATGATGATAATTATCACAACCTGCTTTTTATGGCCCACTTTCCTTTAAGAACTCTGAGTCTCTTCCAAAAAATAACACAATTTGCAATATATTCAGCAATCTAGCTTGTAAGGTGGAGAGAACTTTAAACATAATGCCTTGACATTGTGGGTGTTAAATATGACTCCTTAGAAATCAAGGGCTACCTACTAATTACAAGAAAGTTTTGCTAAAAATTAACACAACATCCTAAGTGGATAGCTGTTGGTACAACTGCTATGTAGAAAAGTCTACTTGGATGTGCTCTCATTTCAATTGCAGTAATCTCAGCTGGTACTGTTTTTCCCTCATTCATTTACTGAATCACACCTGTCTCATTTGGAACCCAAAATTCCCTTAAATGTTTGTTCCTACAAAAGAGAGGTTTAAGCATTTAGGGTTCTGGGGGCTAAAACCATGAATCCCTTTTTTTGTCTGCCTTTGATCATGTGACATCAAAATTATGTCTATTCAAAACATTACAAAAGCAGGATTCATATATAATTGTTAGTAATATTAACTACTAGTCTTTTTCTGTTTACAAAGATTTATTGAAGCCTCAAAGAAAAATGGTACAATTTTAAATAAATTTCTGGCAACATGTATGCTTATAATTTCAAAAATATTTTCCTATACATTATTTCATTGGATCTTTTCAACAGTTCAAGAGTATCTACCATGCTACAGAGAAGGGACTGAAGATCTACAGAGGTTAAGGATCTCCTAAAATCATGTAGTTTAATCAAGAGAGACATCTAATGCTCTTTGTGCTATTGAGCTTCTCTTTCTAAAAGTGTATATTTAAAGTGTAATTTCTCCAGGTAATTTTGGTGTAATACATAAGACTTGTAAGTTATGTTTATGTAGCTCAAGTAACATTAACAACATGAATTAGTCACTTTTTTCCTTCAGCTCCTAAATCTGGCTTCCCACTCTCTGGTGCTTGGCCCTTGTGGTCTTTGTGGTGATCATTATTGTCATGACCATCATCATTGACATTTACATTAGCATCATGAATACAAATGTTGCAGTGCCTCAAAACTAGTGTCATATTGTATGTGGGCATTATGGTAGGCTAGGGTACATGAAAAGTTTTAGAATCTATTAAGTATTTGGGAAAACAAGTACCAAGATTAAAATTACAAAAATAGCCTTGATACTACGAGCTGAAGAGATAACAACTATACATGGATAGGAAATTCTTTTGATCACAGAAGACTGGGGTTTCAGGAAACAGGCAAATAACTTTTCAGGAATCTGGGGAAGAACCAGTTCTGATGACTTAAAGAGGAACAGGAGCCATGGCATTGAAATTGGTAATCCCCCTGGAAAATAGAGCAAACAGTCACTTAATAAAAGCTTTTGATAAGCTGGTACTGGCCAGGATATAGAGGGCTGAACATTTAGGCCACTAGGTGAAGGGTGGGAGATTCTACCGTGTCTATGGGAAATGATCACACTATGCCATTCTCTTTTGGGGTCAATAATACATTATTTCTGTATCCTTATAAGCATCATATGAGCTTTTCTTTTTAAATCTAATAGTAATTTTTATATCTGGATCATTTTTTTCTTTTCGATTTAATGTAACTGTAGATATATTTGGGATGTAATTCTATTATCTTGCTATGTGCCTTCTACCTATGTTGTTTGTCCCAAATCTTTCACTGTCCTCTTTACATTTCTTCTTTTATATTGAATACTTAAAATTATATCATTCATCTTCCCCCTTGTTAAATTGAAAATAACATTAAGTAATTTATTTAGTGGGTGCCCTGGGAATACCACCATAAATTACTGAATGTAATACCTAGTGTGACTAAGAGAAGAGTAACAGAATACACTACTTTCAAACTTAAAAAAGGTGAAAAAAGCAAAAAATAGAAGGCATAGAAAGGTTGAAAATAAAAGGATATAAAAAGCTAGGACTTGTAAATATTTCAAGGTATAATTTACAAAAAAAGTGTTATAGGCAAAGATTACCTACAAGAAAATATTAACTTCACCAGAAAGAAATTTAACAATTTTAAATTTGTATATATTCACTGTCATTGTCTCAAATATATGTTATGCAAAAATTAATGAAACTACAGAAAGAAATTTATTCATTCTCAATAATGAGTAATTTTATCACAACTCTTGATAATTCAAAAAAGGAGAAAATGGATAAGAGGATGAAGCTTTAAGTAAAATGTACATATATATAACTATTCATTTAAATACATTTGGAGTTATAAACAGTGAAATAAACATATAAACAGTGAAATATACATTTATTAAACAATAGTGTATGGGGTATATCTATAAATCTACATGTATATTCCTGTGAAAGCTGAAGTGCAATGTGCAGTCCTCTACTGATATAGAATATTGCACACAGCCTTAGATATATACCCAACAGTTATGTGCACACCTGGGTGCCAGTGGACATGTATAAGGGTATTCACAGTAACAATGTCCACAATGGCATCAAAATAGAAAGCCAAAAGTGTATCAGCAGCAGCCTGGTTAAATAAACTGTGGTGTATTCATTTAATGCAACACTACACAACAGCAACAACAACAACAACAAAAGCCAAGTACTTCTACACTCAACAACATGAAATAAATTTCATTAATAATATTCCACAAAAGAAGACTCAAAAAAGACAAAAGGCATAATTACATTTATTTAAAGCTCAAAAGCAGGCAAAGCTACATTATAGTGTTTAGAGATACAGACTTGGGTAATAAAACTTTTAAAAATCAAGGAAATGATTTCTAAAAAGACAGATGATGGTCCCCTTGCTGGGGACAAGGAGGTAAAGGTTGGGAAGAGGCAGAGGAAGTACAGACCTATTCCACCCCTCCCATACAATGGGGCTGTGAGTCTTTAGGTGGGTCCATGGGGCCAGACAATTATACTTCATATATTTTCCTTATTGTGCCAAAATCTACATTAAAATGTTTTTGAAACAGAACCAAGAGTATGAGAGGAGTTTAGGATTACAGTACTTCTTAGAGAAAAGTGAGGAAAAGATGGAGCAAGAAAGAACCCAGGATAATGAATGAGGTGGTCATACAAAGAGAGCCCTGAGACAGAGAAGCCAAGGAGGATCTTGGTACATACCCAGTTAGAAACTGTAATTGTATGCCATGAGACTGGATAATGGCGTGACTTCTAGCAGGCCACAGTCCCACCCCTCCCTATTGTCTCATATTGGATCTGCCTCATTAATATTTTCTGGCTGGCTCTCTAGGTCCTAGTACTTGGAACTCTTAAGTATTTGTTAGCTGAATTGTTTCACTTTCTCTTTCTTTGGGAGTTGGGTAGGCAGATACTTCTTGAAGGTATACTTTTATAGAATGCTTGAGAATATAATATAACTTTTTACTTACAGCACATTATCAATCTTGGCATTTAATGAATGGGTACTACTAAAGAAAAATGTGAGAATAAGTACTGCTTACCATGTGTGATACTGCTGAGGAAGCCTGCTGCCAGGTGTCCATGACTAAGTTCTCATTTGCCTCAAAGTTTGACACTATATTTTCTAGTGAGGAATCGATCTTGTTTTTCATTATTGCTTTTACTTTTGGTTTGGGCATGGCTGTTTCTGGAGAAATGGATATTCGAGGAACTGAAGGAGGAAATCTTTGAAAAGCAAAACAAAAAAATCAATTTTTATTTATCAGAATTCTATTTTTGTGATCATGTTACTTTGTGAATTTTGTTGTCTTGTTCTAATCTCCAATTTCAAAGTTTTCCTGGAAGAATTCTTTTACAAGAGTAAAGATTACAAAACACGTTATTCAAATTTCTGTGGACTCTTAATGACAAGAGGAAATTCAAAGCAAACAGTAAAACAACATTTTCAGATTTAATTCTCAGTAATTATAAGAGGAGGATTTAACAACAGTGATTACAAAGAAATACAACCTTGAAATTTTTCCAGGACATATTCTCCTGATATAGAATAAGCTCATGGAATTGTGCATCACTTCTTTAAGATGACTAGTATCACCTGACACCCTAAAGCAGATAATGAATAGGGGAATATGACCTAGGTGGGGACTGAATGGGGCTATATTAAAAAGGCAGCCAGATTTTTGTGCTGGGTGAGTGGAGTCCTAGCAGCTTTCTCCTCTCTGGCATATGGATGGTGAAGATTTTCTCTTTGTTTTGTCAAGTGCTATAGCAACACAGAGTTAATCCCTCCCTCTGCCTTAATTAACCATATTGCTACTCCTATATAGAAATTTTAGAGCTTTCCCTGAGACTATGCCATCATTGAAAGATCCCAGGATCTCAAAGGTTAACTGATATGGAAAAAGGTCTACCAAAGTAGAACATTTACTGTGATTGGGATTGTCCATTGGTGGCATAAAGTATAAAACACTCTGAGCTGAGAGAAGGAATAAGGGCAGAGTATTTCCAAAGATGGCTTTGTTGAAATGAGAGTCAGGGTCAATAATAGGAACAGTATTTGGTTTTGTAGACTCAAGTTGCTGGAGAAGAGAGCAGTGATTTGGAAAGAGAGATGTACACTCTAGCAAACCATTAACCTGGTCTTGTTTTGAAGTATCAGACATTCTTCTTGAATTTATCATTTTAGTTCTTATAGTGCTTAAAATTCTGACACTCTATCATGTCTATAAAGTCAGTGTATTGAGGATCCACTGTTTATCTACTCACATATTTAATTATTATTAAATATTATATTATTATATATTATTATTAATTCAATAATCAAATAATGTTAAAGTGAATAATGCTAAATTAGTTCAAATGTGATTCATGTGTCCAATAAGTTAAGGGTAAGCCTTATGACCATCTCTATACATTTAATACAGTACAACATTTATTTACCAACACCTTGGTTTGCAGGACAACAGTACTGGCATCTCATTTAGAAGAAAAATTTGGGTTTATGATTCCTTTACTAGAAAAAAAACTGGTTTGGTATCTCTTTCACTGTCAGTAGATATAAAATTGGACAAAGCACTTGGCTTTCTGAGGCTTGTTTCCTCTTGGGTGATACAAATATAATAATATTACTACTATTATTCATTATCAATTAATGGTATTACAGTTATATAATGTTACTATAGTACTATCATTATTATAGGATTGTTGGAAGAAATAAAGTAGAAATGCTATGTACAACTGCTCAGCACTGTGTTTGTTTCCCTATATATGTTACAGACACTGTGGTTAATTGGTTGGTTGGTTGATTGGTTGATATAGCAAATGACTGATAGTTCCAGCAGATAGCCACAGCAGTGATTTGAGGTTGAGATTGGTACAGAGTTGTTCTGCAGAAAATAAGAACTGACTGTTCTTTGCAGTTTTATTCTACTAGCCAACATTAATAATTTCTCCATGACTTGCTCTTTTGTGGTAAGAACAGAATGCACTGCCACGTTAGGCACTGAAATTTGGCCTCTTTTGATGGTGCTGATGGTTCATATTGCCTTTGGAACTTTTTATTGTTTTTAATTTAAAAGTCCTCATTCAGCAGCTTGCCAAACATTTGCCTTGCATTTTTATCAAGAAGAGGACACACACTTTCTCTCTTGTGTATTCTTGCACACACAGGGGTCCAGCAGGGGTAAGATGGCCCTAGGTAAAAGAAACCTAGAGAGAGAACAAATGGACCTTGGAACATTGCATAGCACTATTGTATTCAGGCAATCTCAAGTCTTTTTTTGAAACACAGCAGGGTAAAACAAACAGAGAAAAAACAAGCAGTACTACCAATTACAATATCACATATAGGCAAAATAGTTTATGGCATATTATGCAATAAAAATAATAGTGATCAATTAATAGTTATTGTTACTAGATCTCAAGTCTTCTGATTCACACACATGGTTCCAAATTCACTGTAGATTTTATTTTCTGTAATCTTCCCAACCACCCTACTTTACACATATGAAAACTGATGATATGATATGATATGAAAATTGCAATGATGACCAGATAAGTAAATTGTCTTAATTTATTTATATATAGATAGCAAGTGACAGATACAGGATTCAAACTAGAGCTGTCTAAGTTCAAATTATATTCAATACTCCACTGAAAGTTTACGAAGCAGAATGAGCCAATGTGAGGACAGAATATCAGATATAGAAGATAGGATTGCAATTAGTGACCGCGAAAATAAAGATTTCTTAAAAATAGCAAGGACCGTGAGAAGTCAATCTAGCAGCTGCTAGATCACACAAAGAAGAATAACATAAGACTGATTGGAGTCAATGAAGAAACAGGAGATAGTGCAAAAGACATAAAAAAAAAAAACTGTTCACAGAAGTGATGGCATAAAACTTGCCAAGCAGGGGAAAAGAATTTGACATACAGATAAGTAAGGCATATAGGACTCCAACTAGCCATGATAAAAAAAAAAATCTATACCTAGAAACCCAACAGAAGGACAAAATCCTATAAGCAGTTAGAGAAAAGAAACAAATCACATACAAAGGAAAGCCCATCAGAATCACAGAGGACTTCTCTACACAAACCCTCAAGCCAAGAAGAACTTGGAATAACATATTTCAAGCCCTAAAAGAAAACAACCTCCGACCGACGTTGATGTAGCCCATGAAACTCTTTCAAAATTGCTGGAGAAATAGGATACTTTCACGACAAAGAACACCTGAGGAACTTTATGAAAACCAAACCAGCACTCCAAACAATTTTAAACAGCATCCTAGGAAAAGACAATGAGGGCCACAACCACACAAAGCCCAGCAGAATGAGTCCATCAGGCAAGACAAGAAATTTAATGCAAAGTGGGAGAGTACAACAGCAGGAAAAGGTCATGACAAGGAAAAGTCAATATATATCAGTTATAAAAATCAATGTTAATGGTCTAAATTCACCAATCAAAAGAAACAGACTGGCAGAATGAGTCAAGAAGGAAGACCTAACAATATTTGGCATGCAAGAGACACACTTAATTCAAAAAGAAACCCACAGACTGAAAGTTAAAGGGTGGAAAACAATATTCCATTTGACAGGAAGCTGAGAAAAAGGAGGAGTAGCTATCCTATTTGCAGATAAGATGGATTTCAAACCAACACTAAGAGAGACACAGAAGGCCACTACATCCTTGTAAAGGGAACAATCCCAGAGGAAGAGATGACAATCATAAATACATATGCATCAAATACTAATGAACCAAACTATATAAAACAAATATTAATGGGAATGAAAAATCAAATAAGCACTAATATAATAGGAGTGGGGGACCACAATATCCCACTGTCACAAATAGATAGATCAACTAGACAAAAAAAAAATGAACAGTGAAATATTAGAACTCAACCAAACTCTTGAAGAAATGGACTTAACAGATTTTTACAGAGTGTTCCGTGCCACAAAATTGGAATACACATTCTTTTCAGCTGCACATGGGTGGTTCTCCAAAATAGAGCACATACTCACTCATAGAAGATGTTTAAGTAAATGCAAAATAACAGAAGTTATCCCCTATATATTATCAGACCATAGTGCGATAAAATTGAAGATCAATAGCAAAAGAAACCACAATAATTTCATAAACACATGGAAATAAAACAATACACACTTGAACAACCGATGGGTCACAAAGGAAATTAAAGAAGAAATCAGACAATTTTTACAATTGAATGACAATCCCAATACAACATATTGGAATTTATGGGACACCATGAAAGCAGTTTTACAGGGGAAATTTGTAGCAGTGAATACTCATATTAGGAAAACAGTGTGAGCTCAAATAAACATCCTAATGGTGAACCTCAAGCTTTTAGAAAAAGAAGATCTGCACAAACCTAAAACTCATACAATGAATGAAATTATAAAGATCACAGCAGAAATTAATGCAATGGAGACTAAGAGAATGATACAAAAAAATCAATGAAACAAGAGTTGGTTCTTTAAAAGAAGAAACAAAATTGACACACCCTTAGCCAACCTTATCAAAACAAGAAAGAAAAGGAGCAGATCCATGCAAAAAGGAATGAAAAGGGTGAAATTACAATGGACCCAGCAGAAATCCAGAGGATCATCAATACCTACTTTGAGGACCTATATGCCAATAAGATGGAAAACACAGAAGAAATGGACAGATTTCTTGATACATATGAAATATCAAAGTTGAACAAAGAAGACCCAAAAATTCCAAACAACTCAATATCCATCAATGAAATTGAAAATGTAATAAAAATCTTACCAACTAAGAAAAGCCCAGGCCCTGATGGCTTCACTGCTGAATTCTGCAAGACATTTAGAGAAGAACTATTGTCACTACTGTTTAAACTCTTCAGTATAATTGAAAGGGAAGCAATACTCCCAAATTCATTCCTGGATGCAAGCATCACCTTGATCCCCAGAGCAGAGAAAGCCCCAACCAAAAAAGAACCATAGGCCAATCTCACTAATGAACATAGATGCAAAAATCCTTAATAAGATACTGGCAAATACAATGCAGAAGATCATCAAGATCATACACCCTGAGCAAGTGGGATTCATCCCAGGGATGCAAGGATGGTTCAACATATGCAAATCAATAAATGTAATACACTATATTAACAGAGCTAAGGACAAAAGCCATATGATCATCTCAGTAGCTGCAGAAAAATTGTTTGACAAAATCCAACACCCATTCATATTAAAAACCCTCCAGAAAATTGGAATTGATGGTCTTTATCTCAACTTGATAAAAACCATCTATAAAAAACCTACAGTCATCATACTAAAAGGTTAAAAACTGAAATCCTTCATGTTAAAATCAGGAACAAGACATGAATGTCCTCTATTACCAGTCCTATTTAATATACTTCTGGAAACATTAGCCACAGCAATTAGACGAGAGAAAGAAATAAAAGAAGTAAAGATAGGAAATGAAGAAGTTAAATTGTCAATATTTGCAGATGACATGATACTTCATATAGAATACCCCAAGAACTCCACCAAAAGTCTTCTAGACTTAGTAATCAAATTCAGTAGAGTAGCCAGATACAAGGTCAACACACAAAAATCAATAGCCTTCCTGTACACAAATAATAAACTCACTGAGAGAAGAACTGGGGAAACATCTTCTTTCACAATAGCATAAAAAAAGAAGAAATACCTACGAATCAACATAATGAAAGAAATCAAAGACCTCTACTCTGAAAACTACAGCACTCTGAAAAAAGAGATCAAAGAGTGTATCAGAAAATGGAAAGACATCCTTTATTCCTAGGTAGGTAGAAGCAATATAGCGAAAGTGGCCATACTTCCAAAACTGCTATACAGATTCAATGCAATCCCAATGGAAATCCCAACAGCATACTTCACAGTCCTTGAGAAAACAATCCAAAACTTCATTTGGAACAAGAAGAGACCTAAAATAGTAAAAGCAGTTCTAGGCAACAAAGACAAGGTAGGGGGTATCACAACCCCCAACTTGAAACTATACTACAAAGCTACTGTAATAAAAATAGCATGGTACTGGTAAAGAAACAGACCTGAGGATCAGTGGAACAGATTAGAAGATACAGAAACAACTCCACACACACTCAGCCACCCCATCTTTGACAAAGGAGCCAAACACCCTCACTGGAGGAAAGATGGCCTCTTTAATAAATGGTACTGGAAAAACTGGGTCAATCAACAAAATTGCCAAAGATTAAAACCAGACCTATATCTCTCACCATGCACTAAACTAAAATAGAAATGGATCAAAGACCTATATATTAAAAACAAAAAACTAAACTGACTGAAAGAGAGGTTAGGTAGCACTCTTAAAGACATTGGTGTAGGAAAAGATTTCATGAACAAAGTCTCAGTTGCACATGAAGTAGCACAAAGAATCAACAACTGGGATCTCATCTTATTAAAAAGCATCTGCACGGGCCAGGGATTTAGCACAGTGGTTCCACCGCCTGCTTTGGAAGCGCAAGGCCCCGAGTTTGAACCCTAGTACCAAAAGAAAAAGCTTCTGGGCATCCAGAGAAGCCACCAACAGCATGAAGAGGCAACCCACAATGTGGGAAAAAATTTTTAGCTGTTGTTCCTTAGACAAAGGACTACTATCTAGAATATATAAAAAACTTAAAATAGTCAGACCTCCCAAATTTAATAACCCAATCCAAAAATAGGCATTTGAAATGAACGGACATTTCTCAGACAAAGAAGTAGAAACAGAAAATAAACATATGAAAAAATGTTCAACACCACTAGTCATTTGAGAGATGCAAATGAAAACAATGCTGAGATTCTACCGCGCTCCAAAAAGAATGGCTGCTATCAAGAAATCAATTAATAACAAACGCTGGTGTGGTTGTGGGGAAAAAGGAACGCTTCTCTACTGTTGGTGGGAGTGTAGACTGGTGCAACCACTGTGGAAATCAGTATGGAGATACCTCAAAGAACTCGGACTCCATTTGACCCAGCTATTTCCCTGCTGGGTATCTTCCTTAAAGAATTAAAAGAATCATACCACAGTGATATATGTGCACCCATGTTCATAGCAGCACAATTTGTAATAGCTAAAACTTAGAAACAGCCCAAATGCCCATCAACTGGAGACTGGATAAAGAAGATGTGGTTTATTTTATAAACTACTACTCAGCCATAAAAAATGAGAAACTAGAGACATTTATAGGTGAATGGATGCACATTGAGGCCATACTCTTCAATGAAATAAATAGGACACACATATGTAAAAACTGAATAGTTTTTTTTGGTGTGAGAAACTGAAGTGTAAATAAGGATCAAAATGTATAATAAATAATGTGAAATAGGAAAAAAAGGTCCAAAGGGAAAGGGGAAATAGGAGGGATAGGGGAAAAGAAAGAAGGGAAAGGAATAAATATGAGAAAAGGAAAAGCAGAAACAAAGTCTTTGTAAATAGGGAGGGTTGAAGGGAGGGCAGGAGAATGGGGAAAAAATAAGAACCAAAATACATCATGTAAAGGTACAAATTTCCAATGATGAATGCCATCATATTGTATACCTAAAATGTACCAATAAACTTAATGAATAAAAAATTTAAATACTCTTTTAGTGTTTTTTGATTGAAAATACATCATAATTATTACCACCATTCCTAACTTCTGTTTCTTGAAGTCAGTTTTTTATGTGTTTATAGCTTGTCTGAATTTTTGATCTTGCTCTTCCTCTGCCCCCTACTCATCAGTTCTATCAAAATAATTATTACAAACTTTTGTATTGCATAGGATTTGTTAAGCTGAAAATATAATTTTTGCTCCATCCCACCACCAAGTTCGTTTTCTTACTGGCAGGAATATGATGTTGGGATATTAATAAATCTTTTAGTCTCATGGGGCCTTAATCACTTATAACTGAGATTTACTGCTTTTCAATGTCCTAAAAACATATGACATCTTACATTTTCATTTACATGATGTCACACACACACACACACAGACACGCACATTTCTTGGTTCTTTTCATAAAAGTGCTGCAAGTACATAATCCCTTACCAGAGATTCTTGGAGCTAAGAATTTCAAAATTTTTATGTATCATATATTCCCTAATCCCCACGACAGAGTCTGAAGGCACTCCATAATAACCACACTCTACTCCTGCAGCAAAAGGAGTAAGTAGTCCTTATTAACAGGTAAACAATGCATATTAGTAGTCTTAAGTCAATAACTCATTGAAGTTAGAAAAAAAAGTTAAAATTTTACTTTTTTGAGTTTCTGAGTTTGCAGGAACAGGAATGTGATATTTTTATTAGTGACAATAATATGAAATCACAAAGTTTTATGTTCAAAATGATTATGGTGTAACATGATGACCTGCCTTACCTAAGCTGGGTTTCTGAAACATCTTTAGCATCCATTTGAACCAATGTGACTCGAGTAAATTTCTTATTATCCTCTATAGGGCTTTTGCATTCCATTGCCCTGTAATAATCTTGAAGGAATCTTTTTGTATCCTGGAAACAGTTCAGTTCTGCCTTAAATAGTAAATGTTATTGTTAATACCCAAGAAAGAATAGACTGATCCATATTTCCCATATAATACTCTGTGAGCACAATTTTAAAAACATTTAGGTTGAAATTTTCTGGAAGTTAAGAAAGAGCACTGGTGGTATGTGTATATATAAATTTTCACAAAATTAAAGATAACTAGTGATTTTGTGCTCTTGGTACTTATTGAGCATGATTCCACTTAACAATATGACATTTCTATGTCATTTGGTATTACGACAAAAGATTATAATATACATGATGCTTGAAGTAGTGCATATTCTCCATTATTTTGATTTCTTCCTGTGTCTTAGAGTTAATCATCCAATACATTAAGAAACATAGAAGTATCTTCTTTGTCATAGATAACATGTTAGCTGATTTTGAGGACACCAGAAGTGCTACATATAGAAATACAAAACCAAAAAACAATACTAGATTCTGGTACTCTAGGACAACATAGCCTAATTATGGAGACATGAAAAACAGTAACATAAAATGATAATAAATAGTTCCCTTTCTACACTTTCCCTCTTGTTCAATGTATAAGATAGAGATATAATTCTTCCATTGCTTACAAGTAAACTCCTGTTCTGGGTCTGCCAGTAAGGACCTTGAGGAAAATGGAACAGCATAGAGGAGTTTGTATCAAAAGGAGCATCAATAACTTGCATGTACTGATTCCCTATCTGTGCAGGTAATTTCCCCTATGCTATGCATATGTTGAAATGCACACATAGGAAGACTTTGTACAGTACCAATACTACAAAGATGGATTCCAAGTTTTCCAACCCATTGTCTTGCTAGATTAGATCATATGATCTATCTATGCTTTGTTTCTGGTAGTATAAAGTACAACCTCCAGACTAGGTTAGGTGATGAGGCTGTTTAAGCCAGTATTTGAAGAGTACATTATTGAAACTTTATGTAGATATCTTGCTATTTCCAGAAATATCTTTATATAAAAGAGCAAAACTGACCTAGTGCTCAAAGCCTTTAACTGAACCTAACCAAAGGACATTTATGAAGCGATCCACTACAAATGTCAAACAACTACATTTTTACTATCATATTTACTATTGAGAACAAAAAAATGACTACTTTTGGACTATATTCTGTGACAAAAGACAACAGGTTCAATAAGCTTCTTTGTAATGTAGAAAAAGATCAGACAAATTGCTCCTAAAAAGCTGTCCTTTGCATTATTACACTTTTCTAGCTAAATGACTGAAACAGAAGGCAATTGATGTTAATTTGAATCTATTTTATAAAACACAATGAACATTCACATAATGTTTTAAATTATATAACATGCTTTAGTCTCTTGGATTTTGAGCACAAATAAACACTTAAGTAATTTTTCAAACTAGTATTTTGAAATGACCAGAACTAAGCATTTTTCTCTTTCATTGCAAAGAACTGGAATTGAGGTTTTAAATATTCTAATATAGAATAACCTCATGGTTTGACAATAAATGTTTGTACTTGTCATGTTTAGTTTTACTATAACTGGAGAGAGAAAATGAGTCTTGAAAATTATACTTAAGAGAACTGGAACAATCCTACATTTACAGAGAATAGGAGGTAAATACAAACCATATGTGTACAAATTGGATACTGAAAAATAACCTTGGAAAATTGAAGAAAAGTATGGAGAGGTTTTAAAATCATTAGTCATTAAGATGTAGCATTATAGTGTATGTAGCATTATAGCATTTGGTAAATAAATGTAGGAATGAGAAAATTATTTCCTCCTTATCTTAGCTGAACTATTTAATAATGATTAGGTTTAGTAGAGTATTTTATTCAATTGGTTTTTGGGACTCTACTGGTTGGAACTTGTGCCTTAAGCTTCCCATAGTATAGAGATTAATTTATAAAAGATCAATTGATTTTAAGGAGCACAATTTGATCTACTATATAGCTAAATTTGAGTAAGCTGCTTGTTATGGTTTAGAGAATGTCTCCCCAAAGCTTTGTGGGCTCAGATGTGGGTCTTCTGGAAGGTGATTAGATTATGCAGGCACTGTATTCATTGATGAATTCATCCACTGGTGAGTTCAGCTACTGGTTATGCTACTGCGAGGTGGGGCATAGTAGGGAGAGGCGGGTCACTGGGTACGTGACATGGAAATGTGTATTTTCCTCCCCAACTTCTTTTTTCATTCTTTGCTTTCTGGTCTTCATGATGTGAGCACTCTCTTCTGCCAGGCCGACTACCATCCCAAACCTGCTTGGAATCAGCCAATCATGCAAAGACTGAGACTTACGAAAGTGTGAGCCAAAATAAATCTCTCCTTTAAGTTGTAGGGTTCAGATAATGTGTCTTAGTGATGAGAAAAATTGTTAAAACATTGCCAAACAATATCCAGGACTCCTACATAGGAAAAATTAGAAAGATTAATGTGTTCTATCTGAAAGTCCTTCAAACTGTGTCTGGTATGTGTGGAGTAACAACTTAATAGATGTTAGCTTTTACTCATAGCTCTTTCCCTTTTCTTTGCTTTGCTTCTAGTTGTTGGACATTGCTTCAGTTTCTGAGGATGAGAGCCTTAAATCTAGATATTGGTGAAATGCAAGAATCCTACCATTTCCATAAGAACCATGTATGGTTTGTACTCATAAGAATGATTTATAAAAATGGTCCATTTTCTGTGCCTTCATTACTGTATTAGATTCCAGATATTTGTGCCATATGATTTTGACATACCTGTTCCTAACACCTGGTCTCTACTTGCTCAAACTGATATCCTGAGAATGTTACCAGACTGGTTTAGGCTGCTTGGGGATCTTTAAATCTTTGCATAATCCATGCTTTGTATGTCAGCTCTGTCCTCTGGTTTATGTGAACTCTTGAATTTCATCCTCTCTTCCCAATACAGGTTCCCAGCATTCCTGCAAAGGTCTTCCTTGTCCTTATTACCTAGCTTCTTTAAACCTCTCACCATTGTTGCAGAGCTAATATAGTAGTCTCCCTTTTCCTAAGAAGTTACATTCTGAGACACCCAGAGAATGCCTAAAATTACAAAGAGTACCAAACCCTATACATACTATGCTTTTTCCATATGAACATAAATACAATATTCTCTGTGCATATAAATATAATAAAGGTTAATTAGACATAGTGGCATTTAAAAGAACTAAAAATACAGAACAATTATAACAACAGGGTAATAAAATAGATGTGAATATGGACTCTAAAATATCTACTTAATGTAATGTACCTTTTTGTGCTGCTGTGAGATGAAATAATGCCTACGCAATGAAAGAAAGTGAGGCGAATTTTGCAGGCATCATAGCATGGTGTTAGGCTAATATGTAAGGATTACTTGAACACAAGCACTTCAAAACCATGATAGTGATCTGACAACCTCGATGGCTACTAAGTGAGTAATGAACAGGTAGCATACTGTAATAGTCACTTTCCCATCTCTGGGACAAAGTACCCAGCACTCACAACTTCAAGGAGAAGTTTATTTTGGCTCATAGTTCTGGTGAATCAGTCCACAAATGACAGACTCCCAGGCAGAAATGGCATGTCAGAAAGGCGTGGCAGGGAAAAGATGTTCATGGCGTGACAGCAAGGAAGCAGAGAGAGAAGTGAGAAGTGGGGGATGAGAACACACCCTTGTGAGTCACCACCAGCGACACATCCCAACCAACCAGACCCCATCTCTGAATGTGAAACTTTTGGGGGACATTTTAGATCTAAACCATAACACAGATACAGTGTGCAAGATGTAGATGATTCACATCTCAGGTGAGATGGAGATCCAGACAATGCAAAGTGGAACAGCAAGAGAGTTTATCATGATCCAGAGAATGGTGTGCAGTTTAAATTTTGTGAATTGTTAATTCCTTGAATTTTCCATTTGGTATTTTTTGGACCAGCAGACACAGCAGCAGTCTCAGCTACATGGGATAATTGCTGAAGTAGTTTAAAATCAGTCAAATAAGATCCTACCTTAAAAATAAAACAAACAAAAACTATATATAAACATAAAAATGGAGAGGTCGTGGTTGACCAAAGGTCACTGAAACTATGACAAATGAAACCATAGTAAGCGGACTACTATGTCAACTAGGCTGCTCCTCCTCCCAGGGTTCTGGTGCCTGATGAGGCTTCCTGTGGTCTAGCCTGCTCAGGCACCATGGATGTCTCCTGGAAGGCTAGAACTGCTAGCATTCATTGGTTATTCCTTGAATAGCATTTGCTGAACACCTTCTATGCATAACCTCTATAGATTGTCAGATAAAGTATCATTTCCTGGAATTTCTTCTTTTGTAAGCTAATCAGTTGAAGATCACGTGTTTTTCATCTTAATTACTATTATTTTAGGAAAAATACACTCATGTATTGCCTTACCAGGATACCCTTGACGTCCACCTCAGCTTAATTCAATTTTATACAGGCTTCTACCTCACTCTGGGCTCCTGACCTCTCTCTTCTTAGAACACTTAGAGTACTTTAGAAAATTCATTATTGCAAAAACATTTCTCTGTCTCTTTGAGATGTGAATCTTTTGTTTATCTTTTTATTAGTCCATGTTTGGAATACATAATGACTGCTTTCATTGTGAGTGTTTGGTACATGTACAATGCCACATCTTAATTCTTTTTATGTCCCATTCCCCCCTACCTGCTCCCTTCATCTCTTGGTCCCCTTGTCATCTGAAAAAGATCTGTTAAAAAGGCTCTTATCAGTTTTACAACTCCTTAGTCCTAAGATCTTGGAACTGTAATTAGTTAGCAGGGAAGAAGTGCCTCTGCCCTGTGTGAAGGTCGGAGCCTAACCCCAATGGGTCCCTTGGTCCAAGTAAAAAACTAAGTCCAGTAATGAAGATAGGAAAACATTTTCTTTTACTTTGGGTGAGACCTATCACCAAACACATGGCCTTTGACCCCTCACATTCCCTCATATTCCAATCCTCAAAACTCCCTAGTGCTTATTTGGGCAAAGCTGGATGCCAAAGACAGAGCTGAGCTCTCTTCTCTGTTGCTGGCAATAATATCAGCATAAAAATAATGTCTATCTTCTTACCTTTTCCTGTGCAGCTTTTACCTAGCAGGGTGTGAAAATAAGTCAATTGGGGCCAATCTAGCAGTATTGGAAAATGTTTTATTTTTAGAAATCAAATGCCCACGGGGTCTGATCTAGCCCATTGTGGCAGAGCTGGGCTGGCCATGCCAGGTGTCTGCTTTGAGAGGTCAGCTAGGTAAACAGTTCAATCACAGACACTGATCAGCTATCCCTCTCCACATATTCAGGACCCCTGCAGGCAATGCTGGTGAGTAGCTGCTTCGGATGCTCCCTGGTTGGTATCTGTTTGTCTGGGACCAAAATGACTCCTGTCAGTTAATTTGATTGGCAAGCTGGAATGCCTAACAGGCCGGGTGTTGTGTGTAAAATGATCTGGGAACAGAGCCCTAACATTCCCAAAGGAATTGTTTCGTGAGGGGTGGGGCTGTGGAGGGAAGAGTCTGTGCCATGGCAACTGGCTGCTCTCACCTGCATGAGCGAAGAGAAGTGGGTCGTCGTTATTCGGAGAGAGTCTTGAAACCAGCGCTCCTTAATGATATCCAGCCGCTCTTGCTCTGCCCTTTCCTTCCTGGCATCACAAATGTCCCACAGGCGCTCGCGCAGATCCTGAGAGGAAAAGAAAGCTGTGGTTACACTGGAGAATCCCTGCTCAGATCCCCTCAGGGTAATACGTCTAAAATCTTTTGCTCATCTTAAAAATGTGCCTAAAGCAAATATAGACCTGATGTACTCATCTATTGCCATAGCGTATCCAACCAATAATTATTTTGCTTCTACTCTCAAATAATATACCCCTATTACAAATCCGCTTCAGTCACGTTATTCGTGGATGGCTATGTTTATGTATTTTAGTCCTTCCTCAACAAATGTGTTTGGCTATGAAATGGACCCAGCCACATGGGCCAACTAAGGGTATAAGAACCTACAAGACAGAGGCCGCTCACCTTGGCCCCTTTCCCCAGGAGTGCCGCCGCCATGCTCTCATTCTGAGCTCAAAATGTGGAAGAGTCACCGCTCTGGTTCCAACCATTCTGAGTTCAAACAACTTGTTAGCGTAACAGGGGAATGAATTGGGGTTTTGTGGGACAATCTATCAAAGTGTGGTTGCCCTGGGCCAGCAGGTCACAGATGCCCTTACATTCAGTCTTTGGTGTAACTCAGCCTTTGTTTCCTCATCATCCCACAGGTCATCAGGAAGAGAGTTGAAATCGGCTTGCCATTGAGATACAAACTCTTGCTTGTAATCTGGAGCCCTTAGAAGCTCCTGGAAACTTGTTCTGTAAGACATTAAGAGAATGAGATTGCTCCTACATGTCATGCCTATAGATTATAAAATTCTGACTTTGGAAACTTTACTCACCTAATCTCATATAAGTAAGCAAGTACACTATGCTGATCTTCTCTCAGATGCCTGAGTGCTGTTTTGATGGTGTTTATGTAGGAATTCTCTATTAATTGCCAGTAAGGTACTAAAAATGAAGGTACCTCCTGTTAAATGGTAAAGCATAAAAGATGTTTCAGATGAAAATATTTCTGAATAATTGGGTCAAAGGTGAACTACTACTAAGTAAGATCAAGAGGCAGTGTACAACTATTTAAAGCTTTCCCTGTGAAATTTCTCATTCCTCCTTTCTCCCCTCCCCTAGTTAATTCCAGTTCCAAATAGGTCCTTAAGTCTCAGCACAGAACTCATTTCTTCCAGTAAACTTCCTCGGACCCAGCAAGTTTGCAAGTTCACTCTAGGATGTTCTGAGGTTCTCCCTTAGCCCCATCTACTTCTCCCATTATTGTAATAATACTTATGACATTAATTGCAACTCTTTGTCTGTATTTAACTCTATACTTGTTTCTTAAAGTCAGAAGCTATGGCTGTCTTGTTCACCACTATACAATCTTTCCTGTATTTACTATAATAGGTCTTCAAGGAATTAATTGAATCATCACATTTTGCCTTAGCTGGAAAACTGCCTTGCATGAGGAAAATCTGATGTTCATTTCAGGGTGTTCATTTCTCTGACAGACTTTCTATCTTTGCTATGTGCATCATGAAAATTGGAAAGAGTCTTTTAAATTATCTTCAATTATCTTCAAAAAGCAAATAAACAATTAGAATAAATAACACGAGTGAAATAAAATGTAGAAGACATTAAATATAAAGTTGCTGTATAATTATTCTCTTACTCACTATGCATTTGCTTACTCAGGGAACCAAATAAGGGGACCTTAGAGGTCATCTCCAATCATGAAATGCCAAATACTAAAGATGTGTAATCCAATCTTTCTGTGGATGTCAGTTGCATTAAGCACACAATTTTTTAAGGCAGAGACCTCCAGAGTCACACGTTATTGAAGAGAGAGAGTCCATGTTATTGAAACATTCTTTCCTTTGTTGAGTAGAAATTTGCCTTCTAGTTTCTACTTTTCAGCCCTAGCTGTGGCCTTTGGTGAAGAGTAGATGGGGTATTCATATTGTCTTCCCTATGGTAGCTTGTTAAATATTGAGACACAGGTATCATCGATGAGGAGAGACCCAGACTGGGAGCCAGGATTCCTGAGATTCATTCCAATCCATACTATCACTACTTAACTGTCTCTGTTCGCATCAATAAGTGAAACACCAAGAATTATTCACTGGTGGTCACTCTGTGTGGGAGTTGCCAAACACTACCTGGATCTCTAGAGACCCGATGTTGATGCTGCTTATCTATCCACCCATCCTACCTCCCTACCAAGAAAAAGCAACGAGGCATTTCAACAAGACATACTCTTCTCAAGTGGACTTCAAGTGATTCATTATTATATTTTATATTTCATAAGGGCCCAGAAGCCATGTATTTAATAATTTGCCTCAAATTTTGTGAAGGATTAATGTATTATTCTGTATGTTAATAAATCTCATCTACTTTTGTTGAAGCATTTCGCATTCGACTAAAGTTGATTGTGGGTAATTGAAACCTCAGAAAGCAAAACTGAGGATAAGGCGGATTTTATATTTTAAGCAAGGTCAGTTGAGAATTAATGAGATCTGTGTTAGAGTGTGTTATACTTTTGGCGGAAGAGTCCTGTGTCTCTCGGCCTGGTGAGGAAGTGTGGGTTTCCAAACTCAGTGCACTTGGTCCTGAGGCCCCTGGACTCAGCTTCAGCCCAGAGGAGGAGGAGGAAGAGGACTACTATAGGTCAGTAAAACATTAGTAAGTGGACCAGGGGGCTCTGTTCCACTTCCTCCATATCCTGGAAAGTGACAACCTCTCACTTCAATGCCCTCCTTGTTTATTTCTTTTCCTTTTTTTGGTACCAAGAATTGAACTTAGGACCTAGTGCTTGTCAGGCAGGTGTGGTGCCACTGAGCTAAATCCCTGGCTCCCCTTCCTTGTTTCTTTCTACCCTTTGTTGCTGACAAAGGGAGGACTGATGCTGTCATAACACTTGGCTGTTGCTTGAGAAAGTCAGATGTGGAAGCAATCTCTCTTGGTTCTGTCTCTTTTCCTTCTCTGTACCTGTTAGGTGAGACAGACTTGGGATTCTCAGAAGGTCTAGAACTAGAGTTTCCAGGCAGGGTACACACACCCTCCCCAGTTAAATCTGTGGCTTATCCAAAATCCAAATTTCACTAGCTACCGGTCTTCCTGTCCCTTGGCAGGTGAGCACTGCAGCTCATGTGACAAAGCCCAGGCTAGACAGGACTAGCCCAGCTCACGTGGCTTGCCTTGCTGTAGCAACAATTGTTTTCCGCAAAGCTTTACATAGCTAACTGGAGTACTGTGCTGCATCCCTCCTTATTGTCCCTCCAGGTCAATCTTCCACCCTTCTCTACCCTGTCCAGTGTCCTGAACAGCTTCATGAAGCTCCTTTGCCCTCTACATCTTGTTCTGCTTTCCTGGCCACTGTGGGGGCTGGATACCTGGTGAAGACCCCAGCTCCTGTAAGATGGTCAGATAGCACACTCTGCACAGCAGTCCTCTTGAGCTCAAGGTCCTTTCTCCTACACCTTAAGTCTTGAATCCACACTGACTCTAAGCTAGCCCTTGTTTGGGTCCTTGTAAATTTCCATACTTTCTAAAGTAAAGTTTCCTTACTTTCTTTACACACATTTGTAAATAGGGCTTTATTCTATTTCCTCAAATTTTTATCTGCTTTTGAGGCCAGGGATTTAGCTCAGTGGTGCAGTGTTTGCCTCACAAGCACAAGGTCCTGATTTTGATCCCCTGTACAAAAATAATTTTTTATATATATATATATATAATCTGCTTTTTTGCCAGAATCCTTATTGCTATAAACTGTACATAGAAGCTACTACCATATCTCAGTGTTGATGTTTATTTTTTACTCCTATCCTCGATTGGAGTTAACGACTGACTTTTGGTATTTTTACTCATCACTCTTCATCTTTATAAAATAATAATTTAAGTTTTATCTTATTCCCCAAATATTCTGCTTGACAGGTTTGGAATATATATCATACATCTATATTTAAAATGACCTTCCATTTGACTGAGTGATAAATGTAATTATATCCATAATTACATGATATATATGTTCTCATCTTCAAATAGTTTCTGTTCTAATTTCACTCTCAATGCTAATTAACTAATTCATTGGGAACCTATCAAGAATGTTAGATACTCTTCAGTGTGTTGATTCTGTGTTTAAGAGTGTATTTTTCCACAGGGTCTTTCTCTCCCGGAAAATTTGAAGTCTAATTAGGGATGCCAGATGTTCCTAAGCTAACTCAATACTAACAGCAACACTGCAGCTGCTGCAGTTCCTGATATGTCTTGAATGTCCAGCACAGGTGGTCTTTGCTCAGTTTATCAGAGGAAGAGATCAATGGGGACTGGAGTAAAAAAGACAAGACTTAATCTTGTAAAAAGTGCTTGTTTTAAAAAACATTTTAAATCACTATTCTCATGATTTTCCTAAGATGGTTTGTCCGTTAAAATGACCAGAGTGCCTAGGTTTTGCAGCTGGATGTCAGAGAACAATAGGATTCTGCTGGGTGTCTCCTTGTCTAGCATAGCCATTTCAGGTTCTCAGGTGGGACAGCTGTCTGCTTTTTTATGGGCTTAGCTTCAAAGGTTTCTTCTTGAGCTGGGGATATGCCTGTAATCCCAGAATTCTGGCAGGCTGAGGCAGGAGGATCCCAAATTCAAGCCCAGCTCAGGCAATTTAGTGACTAACAGTGAGACTTTATTTTTTAAAAATGTTTTTAAAGGGGGTAGGTACATAGCTCAATGCAAAGGCCCTGGGTTTCCCAGTGCTTCCCTATCCAAAAATTCTCCTGGTTCTAAAAAAATCAGAAATTAAACTCCACCTAAAATCATTCTGATGCAGGCATAGAAACATTCATGGGGCGCTGGATTTGTTGAATGTGTCTTCTGCAGAAGTCATTCTTTTCTCCTGGGAAACTGCATCTCTGCTTCTCCTCAGGGAGAAAATGGGCACCCACAACAACCATTTTCTCTCCTGATTTCAGCACCACTCACCATCAGTTCAAAGCATGACTCAGAGTGTTGTTTGAGAAAATTTGAGTTGCGTTCCAGTGAGAAGTCTGTAGAAAATTTATTTCAGTGTCATGGCTTGTTCATCTGTCTGTCTGTTTGTGCTGCTGGTGGTCAAACCAAGGCCTCACACATGCTACGCAAGTACTCTACCTCTGAGGCACAGCCCAGGCCCTATCTGAGCTTTTTGGCGAGAGCATATATACTACCAGCTATAAAAGGCATTTTGGGTGTTGCAAAAAATTATGTAAGTCTTATTATAAACACGGAAAACTATGAATTGTACTAGTTTGATTCCAAACTGCCCTACCTCAGGGACTGGCTCACTCACATAGACCCACTCTTCAGATCCTGGCTTAGGTGGTGGTGGCCCCACTGGAGTGGGTGACACTTCTGTAGACTGAGCAGGTGATTTCTTTATCGGTGTTTTTCCTCCTGGTGTTTTTCCCTTATGAGAACCTTAAACATTCACATTAAATCATTCCAATACAAGTAGACAAACAATACAGAATTCTGGTAAATGAATAAATCTATGATTGCCATGGACTTCAAGTAACTTACTATTTTTAAAGTTCCTTTGGACAGTCTTACCAAATAAAAAAAAATGATCTCATTTTCCATAGACCCCCATATTAACCAATACTACTACTAATAATGAGTTTTGTAAAAAGCAATCCAAGTGTTCTCATCCAATTGACTATTAAAAACCAGTTGATATTTCATTTTCATCTCATATGGTTCTTATAAAGTTTAAACTCTAGAGCAAATGTGTTTCATTTGCTACTGTAAAAGTGACAAATTAAACTCAGTACCTGAATGGGAAGAACATGACGGATATTTTTAGTATCTCTTTGGGCAGGAAATAAGAATAATATTTAAGAGTTACCCAGAACAGGTGAGGCAGGCAGGGGAAGAGAGGAGGCCACTACATTGTTACTCCTAGCCCCTTGCTTATCCTTGAATGTAACAAAGGTTTTCTACGGGGAGCTGTAATTCTTGCTACAGTCCAGGAATACGGATAAAGGCAATTGCTGTGCCATGAGCCTGGCTGAATCAAGGCATGATAGAAATAAAAGGGAATGGAAAGAAAAAAGAGGGGACGAGAGGGAGAAAAAAGAGAAAGGAAAACAGGACAAGAGGAGGAGGAGAGAAGAGGAAAAGGTGTATTGTTCTAGTTCCAGAATCGGTAAAGGACACATCCACTTCACTTCACCTGATAGCATGAAGAGGGGAATCCAGAGCACTGAAATATACTTGCTTGATCTGAATGACTTTGTTCCTTAACTCAGAGAACACAAAAATACCCAGAAAGGATCAAGATTATTATCATTTAGAAATTTACTCTGTTTTTAAATTCCACTTATCTTCAGATTAATTTTTGAGAATTTTAGGTGTAATTCACAGTTGCCTGTAACACGGGGAATGCTTTCTTTCCTCAGAACACAGTGTTCCAAAGGGGATTATTTAGTGGTAATACTGTTCAGAAGAGGAACTACATCTTCTACTTTCATATTAGTTTAAAAAAATACACGGATTATAAGTAGAAAAGAAATTACCAATTATGTCTTGTGGCCAGTTCAGGTTCAGGTGATTTCTGCTTACACATTTAAAAATAGATGACATTATCTAAGAAGGACTATATATTATAAATTGGAGACTAGCTAGGTTTTCCTTTTTTTTTCTTAAACATCTTGATCATTTAGTGAAAATTAAAAGATAAGGAATTTTTTATTATTGTGCTTTCAGAACAATAAGTTCTATATAATTTCTATATAAATTTTATCTAGTTTTTAAGCAATGAAAATGCTGGAGGGGAGAAAAGATTTGAAAGAATACAAATGTATCTATGTCACAGTGAATGCAAACAAAAGTGGTTTCTGACCAAAACCTTTACCAGCATCTTAAATATAACAAGGAGTATTCTTTTGAATGCTTCAGTGTCTAATGAGAAATTTGCTTTCAGTTGAAAAGTTGAGTATTTCCTGTAGATATTCCTCAGGATGAAAGGTTTGTGTAATAATTTATTTTTAGTTATAGTATGTAAATTTTAGTGTAATTTGGTTGTTTTTGTTGTTGTAAGGACCTGATATATCACATAGAAGCCAGCAGGGTCAGAATAAGTACATATAAAAACAAAATCAAGCAAAAAGAAAAATTCAGTGTTAGGACATAGATTTATTTAATCAATATTAAAGTAAAGCAAAAAAAAATATTAAAGTAAAGCAATGGTCAGCCAAAGATGAAATGACAGAAAAATAGGTTTGAGCTAAACCAACACATGAATAAATAAGTCAGAGCTTTAAGTTTCGAGTAATTAAAAATCAAAATATAGAATCAAATTTAAAAGAAAGTAAATGCTTAATTCAAATGTAAGAATAAGCTGTATCAATTGAGAAGCAGAAGACCTTAAGAAAATTGACCACTTTTGAATTTAGTATTTCTCAGGGAGGGGAAAGGCCTGGGAGGTGAGAACTGTAGGAAAGAATAAAAGACATAGAAATTATGATTTATTATATTTTTAAATAAAGCAATACATAATAATAATAAATTATTATTACCTTTCAGTCCCCAAATATTTCCTAGAAGACCTGATTTAATTAATAGCATCACAGGTAGATGCCAGTGATGGCTTTCTTACTTGTGGTCAGCAACTTTTTGTTAACAGGTAGTGCTGATGGCTGACTGTGATGTAAACAGCAGCAACTGAAGCTGCAACAAAGGGTAATGTGGCTAAGATAAAAATTTTAGTTTAGCAAGGGGACAGACTGAAGCCACACAACCAGGAAGAGAAAGTGGCAGTGCCAGGCAAGGAGCGAGAGGTAGACCGTGCACTTTGACTCACTGCTGAGAAACTGTTTGGAAAAGCCCAGAGGGAACGTTTTTTTCCCTCAGTGTCTAGAATTCATGTTGGTGCCTTGTGTAGATCCAGAGCTACAGGATGTTGAAAACTGAAAAGAAGTAAGTTTAGTGATCTGGGATTGCTTATCAAACTTAGTTTAGTACTATTTAAGTGTAATTATAGGGATAAGTAAATAGAACTGCCTGCATCAGCTTTACAGAGGACATACCCCTATCTGCCCAATCTAGGTCTGTGGCCAATAATAGTTCATATTTATTTAAAGTTTAATCTGAACCGGATTCTATTCTAGCTGACTTTTGTATATTTACTTATTCCATATAACAGCCACACAAGCAGCTACTCTTATCCCTCACTTTATAGATGAGGAAATTAGTCATACTAAGGTAAACTAATTTGCCTGAGGTCACCCATATAATAAATGGCAAAGCTAGGACACCAGTCTCAACAGGGTGGCTCCAAACCCTGTGCCATGGTTTGACGGTGATACTCATTGGTTTTTAGTGTTCACTGAGTAGTTCATAAATATTCATTAGATTGGTATTCATTAATTTGCAAAAGCTAGAGAAGTTCTTATAATACTATTTACTTGGTCCCTAAATCAATTTTAAGATTGTTTTCTACTTATGTTTTCTTCGTGGCAATTTTAAGTAAGATTTTCTTTTAAGTGACAGGCTAATAAATAGATTCATTGAAAGATTCATATTTAAGAGCAAGAACAATATTTAATTTACTTAAACTACAGTGACAGAATGAAGGCAAAATCCAGGGAAGTTGTGAGATTTAATTTGGTCGTTAATGTGGGGGTGGAGATTGCCTTGCACAGAGTGAAGAGAATCAACTTCCCTGTCTGATGAGTTAACAGTTCTTAAGAAAACATCTAATTTATTTTGGGTCTCAATGCTCTCATCTTTGAAGGAGTAAAATAATATTATTTACTTCACAGGTCATTATGAGACTTTAGTGAGATTACAAATTTAGTTTCTCTTACACAGTGCCTGGCACATCATAGGCATGCCATAAGAGACAGTTTATTATGATTATGAATTGGGTAATAAAAGGAGATTGCGGTTAATTTTGTAATCTGAATCCTGTACCATGGTAATAAATCAATCAGCTTCCAGTATGTGGTATCAATTTTAAGATGAAAATCAATATATTTTTCATTTTCTTTAAAATTTACTAAAACCTTATAAATTGTGCAGAATACTCCTCTCTGTTTATAATCCCGGGTAATAAAAATAATTTTTTAGAAATTAATCCTGGTAAGGGTTATTTTTTTCTTTTAGAGGTGGCCTATTTCCTTTTCTCTGGGAATGAGAATGAAGGAACCCTTATGCCTTTTCTTTGTCTTGCCTGTCAGGTTCTCTGTTTAATGGGCTATCACAATAACCATTGTGTCTTGAGCTGGACATGCTAATTCCCTATTAATTCTCTCATATTTGGCTTCCAACAACATTTTTATATACATGTGTTTTACTGTAATTCAATTTAAGTATTTGAGGGAATTATAAATAATACAGTAGAAATAACTGAATGTTTCTGATATTCCCATGACTAAAAGAAGGCAATAAACTTTGGGTCCTACTACAGGGATTCTCAGTCTGATGACCATCAGAATCCCCTGGAGGATTTGTTAAAATGCTAGTTGCTGGACAACCTTACTGGAACTTCAGAGTAGGTCTGAGGTGGGGCTGAATATTTGCTTTCTAACACAGATGATGCAGATGCCACTGGACCATGGTCTAAAAGCCTAAGAGCCATTGTTTTCATGGATGCATCTAGTTATTTCATTTTACTTTTGTCTTTTTGTTTCCGTTCTTCCATGTCTTTCCAAGCAAGTGGGATAAATGTTTACAACATTGACACTATATTAGTTCTAAGTTAAGTGGCCTCATAGGGCCTACAATAATTGAAAAAATAAGTCAAGTCAGAAGGCAAGCACTGGAACAATACTAATAATAATATGTAGTGCAGGCCATGAGAACTAAAGATGACATCACTGTATTTCCAAGTGTTTGTTTCACAGAATTATAATCCTAACAGATATTCCTTCAAGGAAGAAAAATTTTGCAATGAAAATGTTCTGGGATCTTATTGAATCTCCCAACCCCTGAGAGATGCTTATTCACACAGGGGGAAAAAATCCCTGTAATTAAAAACATTTAAAGGTAGTGTAACTTGGCATTTTTCTGAACTTAGTGGATCATGGAAAACTTAATTTCTAGTCAGCATCTCCCGGGGAAAACTATAGAGCTGAAAAGCCTTATTTTATGAAGGAATATAATGGGACAATAGCAAATGGGTGGAAGAGGATAAGAAATACTTTAAGATCACTCTAGGTGCAATTGTGAATAGGATTCCAGTAGAAGGGTAGAGACTGATACAATGTGCAGAGGAGAGTCTGAATGAATGAAAAATGCCAACAGCAGAAAATAATGATAAGTTTGAAGAAAGAGAGAGAAGGTTCCTCAACTCATAAGAGATACTTTAAATATAATAGTGATCTGTATTCTGGCTTGTGAGAAATAGATAATCAATTTATAGTGTTTACCTTTAATAGTATTAACTTCAAATATTAAGAAATAAAATCACAGTTTCCTTTTCCCGAAAGAAATCCTTTCATAAATGCTAAAACAGTATCACTTCTATGCAATAAAAAATTCTAAATCTTAATTGAGAGTTCATTTGTTTCAAATATTTAACACAATAAAACAATAAATGCTAAAACATTTAGAAATCTTTGGTGTTAGTTAAATTGATATAATTACAAAGCTCCTATATATTTTTTTCCTGTTGAACATGGATGTTTGCTTATGATTTGTTTGGCATTTGTCTGTTATTAATCAAGAATGCTTTTACAATATATGCATATAATGTCTAATTTGATTTGGAAATTATATGTATTCTTTATTTCTATTTGATGATTCTGTAATGAACCTTCATTTGCTCTTTTGTTAACAATGAAAAAACAAGAAATAAATGTAAAATGTGAAAATTACTCTAGTATTAAACAAGTGCTAAGCATAGACTGTAGCCTTTAGAATTTAGCTAAAATTTTTATTTCAGTGTTAGCTTGCTCTAATGTCATCTAATCAGAGAACAGTAATATTTTCTTAGAGAATTATAGTTATATTTATTTAAATACCCAAATAAACACTTTTTAGCATATTAGTTGTGAACACTGCACTTTCTTAGACTGCACCTGTAGTGGCCATTTATGATGTACAGTTAAACAAAGTATATACTTCATGATAGTGCCATTTGAATCCACTTTGAAGAAATCAATGGTATGTATTCATGACTGCATTTCAATTTTAGTTAATTGGTTGCTACAGCAACTTAACATAAATCTAACTAATATGGATTGGGACCTTGGATTTTTTTCTACAAGCTAAGAATTACTTCAAAACATCCCTCTATTTCAAAGAAATAGTAAAAAAAAAAAAAGAAAAGAAAATATATAAATGAACTTAGGATCAGAAAAAAAAATGTAACTTAAAATAGAAAACCAACATGAGAAGAATATCTAGAAGGCAGATATTGATATTTAGGTCATTGCACAGATTTTAAATCTGAGGTACCAACTTGGTTCTGAGCTTCCAGACAGCTAAAATGAAAAGGGAAATGTTATCATTAGAGATGCTTGTTACATAATCACTCAGAGATAGAGACATTTCCCTGTCTCTTATTTCTGAATGAAGTTTGTCACCTAGAAGTTCATAGAGGGGGATAAATTATACATACTACTTGAGAAAATATGATACTAGGTCACTATTGGCATAATAAAAATTTTATCTCCACTGCTATAGAGAAAGTGAGGACTTTATACCAAAGTGCTTGTTGGTTAAAGCAAATCAGTATGTAGCTTAGCTCAAGGATAATAATTTCAATATCTATGATGAATGGATATTCTGTTAGACATTCTGTATGTTATTCCCTGCAAGCATCACTTTTCTCATCAGGACCTTTGCTAAGAGCCAGGCTACAGGATGTTTGAGGTTATATTTTGGCAAGGGATTAAGACTTACAAATGCCTGAGAGAAGTCAGGGTATACTAGAATACACATGTAGCTATTTTCACTGAGAGAATTATAAAATGCAGGATTATAGGTCACCATGTCTATCCTTATATGATGTACCTTTTGAGTGCAATCTTACCTTTCTTTCCTTTTCCTTCATGAAGAGGTTCTTGTTTATCATGTGGGGTTTCTAAACAAAATTAAACACATAAATAACATTTATGACCTACTTCACCAGCCTATACCCTATGACTTCTAAGCAATCACAGGTTACTTCTTACAGTTGTATTTGTGCACAGAATAAAATAGCTCAGGTCTTTGCGTGAGACAGAAGTTAATCTGAAGACAGAGCATAGGTTTAATCTTCTTAAAGGACATGGCAGATAATCCTATTCTATTTTAGCAAACTGAGAAGTTTAGTACTAACTTTAGACCTGTGGCCATGGGTTTGCTTATAACCCACTTTATGGAATTGTGGAGTTTTTAGTTATTCAAAAATCCTTTTGAAATATATGACTTTATTTGGATGTATTGTAATGGAATGAATCTTAAGGCAACTAGATCTGTAATAAGGATGATCTCAAAACACTTTGTGCAAGAGTTGAATGACCACATTGTTTTCATATGGTCCATCCTTGAACTCTTCTTGTTCACACACTTGATTGCTTTATGACGTCTACACATTTGTACTGACTGCAATTTGTAACGCAAATTATAGTTTGGGTATATCTATTTTAGATTCTCTGGAATCTAGTTAAAATATATTTGAGAAGGAAAATGGAAAACAGATGATCCACAGGTGAGAAGATATACCAAATAATAAATTAGCTCCTTGAAAAAAATTCACTGTATCCTAGCTTTATTTGCCAGCAAATTCAATCAGTTTCCTCCCTTGGTCCTAGTATAGAGTGCTTTTCATTTTCCTTCACTGGAAGGATGGGAATTTAAATGCCTGTAACAGGGAGATCCCATCTGACTACTTATTTATTATTGCAATTAAAAATGATAACTATAAGAATGTATAAATGCATAGTGTATATCATTTATATTTAAATATCTAAGATCTGACAAACAAGATTCCATAGAAATAAGACAAGTGATAGGTAGTGAAGAATTACCTTTGAAAACTTCTCTAAAAGGACTTTTAAACATCTGAATAACTGATCACCAAATTCAAAAACAAAGAAAGGAAGGAAATAATAAAGAAGGGAGAAAAAGGCTGAAGGAAGTATGGAGACTAAGTAACCAGGGAGAGGCCATTCTGGGCTCCATTTGATGATACACCAGACCCATGAATTCTGTTCTCAAATGAGCTGTTTCAGAAACTTACAGCAAAACAGCCACTAACACTCCTTTCCTAACATGTATGATCATGATGTTACCCCAAATGTTTGAACCATTTTTTAAAAAAAAATAAGCTTAATAATGAAAAACTCTTGCTAAGCTTAGTTCCTTTAACAAAAATAAAAAAAATATGTAAGTAGTTCTAAACTTTAGTAGACGGTGGTAGAAAAAATAAAGTAAAACACACTGAACTTAAAAGTTATTGTGAGCAAGTCTAATTTCTGCTGAGGGTAGCATGTGCTCTTGGCCATTTTATTAACTTTAAAATATATACTGAAAACTCAAAAACTATTCTTAAACAGCAGCACAGTTTTGTCCTGCTGAGAACTTCACTTCTAATTAAGAATTGCACCTTGAGATCATAATATTAAGTGAAATAAATCAGACATACGAGCTTAAACATTGCATGGTTTCTCTTATATGAGAAACCCAAAATATAACAAAGAGAAAACTAAAAGATAGATAATAAGAAGTAGGGGGATCTTTCTCAAATGGCAATGGGATCAAGAGATGGAGGGAGGTGGAAGAGAGGGAAGGGAAAATGAATAAAGAAAGAATTGCAAAATAAAGTAGATGGATCTTTTGCAAAGGAGAAGGGGACCCAGAGATGGAAGGGGCAGCAAGGCAGGGGAGGGGTAGGGGATAGAAAAAGAATCAAGATCTGTTTTTCACATCTACCAACTCCTCATGATAAACATAATCATTATATATTGTAAATAGGTACTAATAAAAATATTTTTTGAAAAAGTAATGGGATTATACTCTCAAAAAAAAAAAAAGAATTGACCTTTGACGGTGGATTCATAATAAATCTTTCAATGGAGCACAAATGTTAAGTTTTTAAACTGAATCGCAAATGTAGCTGAAAAGATATAAAATGCAGTACTTTATAAAATATAGGACTAGATTTATAGGAAATGCTTGTTAGCACTCAGTAACTATGCCTCTTTCTCTACCATATTTGCACACTGAGTTTTGTTGTTGTTTTAGGAAATAATTCTCCTTTTTATCTCAACATCTAAAGAAGATTCTAACTGAATGTTTCAGTTGAGCATGCTCAGAAGCCTCAGGCATTCAGTTTTGAAAGTATTCTCCTTTGAAAATATTTTAAAGTTATATAAAAATTTAAAAAAGTAAAACTTCTGGAATTTTCCTAAATTCCAGAAAATTTAAAATTGCTTAACCAAGTTTCTATACACTATGAGGGCAACATTCTACTCTGTTGCCTAATTAATGCCCTTGACAATGGACATTTCCTTCCTGCAATGTTTTGTTGTTGATGGCAATTAGGCCTATTGAGATTAACATTTTTTGACACATTTATTTTAAAGATCAGGCATTAACCCTGCCCTACATAGAAAAAAGAGACAGGTACAATTACTCTTTGAAGCAACAACAGATTTATTATTCCTCCAATGCACAATATTCAAGAGTACAATTTTAAAATAGCAAACAAACTTCAGAAACTTAGACTATGGACTATGTTGTAATCAGAAACACTACAGATTAGTTTGAAAGAATGGCTCAAATACATTTACACTCTGGTTATACTGGATAATTTGAGGCTAATTTAACCACAGTGAAAATTGTCTTCCTTAAATGGCATTTTAAATATTTCCATTTTCCCTTGAGATCTTTGTTTTTTCTTTGTAAATCACTAATTAAATAGTAGAGAAAAGATGCATATTTGATTCATGGCTTTGTGTTTTATTGTCACATCATAAAATTGTTTTTTAAGGTGTATGTATATGCTAGAGTAAAATGATCTTTGAAATACCATTATATATATATATATATGATATTGAAATTGTCAAATTTCTTTGCTTAATATGGATAAACTTAATTGAAAAAATCAATCTCAAATCCCCACAAAGCAGAAAGAATATGGAGTTTAGAAAAACAGATATGAACAATATTGGGAACAATTAGGAAACTTGTGTAACTGCATACTCCATCAGATTAAGGCTGAAACCAGAAATTGAAGCAATGTCTGTTTCAAATATACACACAGTGAATCGGTACTGACATCCTACTGAGATCATACATTAAACAACTGAGCCTCTACTTTTGTCATAGTCATTGTCTACCTCTTAATGCTAGACTCATTGTCCTTTGTTGTTAAGAATCTGGAAAGAATTAAAAAATTTTTTCTTTAAATATAGTGTTTGGCTATATATTCATAAATATGTGAGATTATCAAGATGTTAGGTGTTTCTTTCCTGTTATAATCACATGGCCCTGAATATTTACAGTTACAAATACATTTTAGTTTCTATTGAATGCTGTTTATTGGCTCCCTCATTTTTGAAGTCAATTGGCTGTGCTAATCCTCATTTTATTAAAATATTCTCACCCTTCCCATATATGTAACTCCATGTTGAGACCGCTGTCTTTTTGACCTTCCCTACATTACTTCTTGTTATTCTACAACTTTCCTTTTTCCATCTGTGGTCTTGTTTTTATCAGCTGAATATGATGAGTCCAAGTTCCCTGTTAAACACCAAAGAACCTGTGCTTTTTTTTTTTTCTTTTTTTTTTTTTTGGTACCAGGGATTGAACTCGGATCCTTGCACTTGTGCAGCAGGCGGCAAAACCACTGAGCTAAATCCCCAGTCCGAACCTGTGCTTTTTAACAACTATTTTCTAAGCTTTTAAGAGTGCTTTTCCAGCTGGTCTTTATGGTATGCACATATAATGTCATAACTTCAGAGGCCAAGACAGGAGGATTGCAAGTTTGAGGTCAACCTGAACAATTTAGATGACTTGTTCTCAAAATAAAAAGGGCTGGGGATGCAGCTCAGGACTCATGTTCCTGGGTTCAATTTCCAATACAATTAACCCCCATTTGAGTATGGATCTTTGTTTTTTATGATTGAAGTTGTTAATCTGAATCTAGATACATAGACTGGCCCTATAATTTATATTTCTTTTCTAAGTGAAAATAAGAAACAGGCAAACAGGATTATAAATCACTCTGTCAATCACCTGATTGTGGTTTTCCTTTGGCAGGAGGAGTTTTTGAAGGCTCCTGCTTGTGCTGAGCCTGAATTTCCTTCTCTTTTTCTGGCTCAGGAGGAGGAGGGGGTAGAGGCAGAGACTCAGCCAGGGAAGCTATGGCTTTCTTCTCAGCTTCCTTTTCTTCTAATTTCTTTTCAACTTCAAAAAAATAAGAATGAGCTTTCATTAAGGATTCCAACTACTTCATTTGAACTAAAAGAAATTAAAATTAATGTAAAATTACATTTACTGATTAAGATTAATTCATGTTTCAATGTTCTCCCTTAATCATCCAGTTTGTAAAGATAAGATTTTACGCCTTCTCTGCCAGGTCATATGGTTTCTCTTGGTGGAGGCTGTGGTGGTGGGAGTGGGGTATTGATGGCAATGAGGGGTGATGGGAGTGACAGCGTGGGAGCAATGAGTTGTGTGTGTGTATGTGTCTGTGTGTGCATGTGTATAGCGGGTAAAAATTTAGTGAGTGGGTGCCAAGTGTAAAAGTAGCTAATAATGCAGAACTAGCTAAAAAAGGAATGAGAAAATAAAGGATTATGTAAAAAAATTTATTGGAAAAGCAAGATTTAAAAAAGAACATAAATAAAAGATTAAAAACAACATAGGAGAGGTAGGGTGGGGAGGAAATGGAAGGGGAAAGAAATGTGTAGAACTCACTTAAATGCCTTGGGAACTGAGTTATTCACATCATGCAACATTTTTTTTTTGTGGGGGAGGGGGACAGAATCTCACTGTGTTGCTCAGGCTGGTCTTGAACTCCTGGGCTCAAGTGATCCTCCCACCACAGCCTCCCCAGCAACTGGGATAATAGGTGTGTGCCATCACACCTAGCCATACAACAATTATTTATTGCACCTGAACTGCGCCTGGAAGCAAAGGAAGGGTGTTAACAATAAAGTACAGCTACTACTAGTATTAATACAACATCGGGCACCATCCTGGATGCTGGAGATACACCAGTCAACCAAAACAGAGGAAAGTCAAGGTCCTTCGGAGGCTTGCATTCTAGTTGCAGAAGGCAGACTACACACATAATAAATAGCTTCATTTATACAAAAGATCGGAACATGATATCCACTATGCAGAAAAGAAATAGAATAGAGTAGGGGGATTGGGAGTGCTGTAGGGCAGTGATGTTAAGTTTTATGCAGAGTGCTAAGCTGGATGGGGCCATGGAGACATCTGAGCAAAGACATGAAGAAAGCAAGGGTGTGGGCCTTGTGGGTGGGTGAGGGAAAAGTGTCCCAGGGCAGAGGGGACAGGCAGTCCTGATGCCTTGATGTTGGAGTGTGGCTGGCTAGTGACTTTCTAGGCTCCTGTCATTGCTATGGCCCTTGCCAGTCACATATCCTTAATGGTGCACCTCCCTGACTGTCCCTGTCTCTGGGACCTTCCTCACTGTAGATGCCCACGCAGACTGGCCACTGTCATCGGCCCATAGATTGTTCTAGGCCCTAGATGTTCTCTAGGCCCATAGATTATTCTTTTCAATTCAGCAAGCAAGGAAGCTTCTTTCTATTAGATTTTCTTTCATAGTAGAAATTAGAGGGTTTTTTTCTGATTATAAAAGTGAAACACAATTATTCTTTTTTTTAAATCCACAAATTTAGACAAATATGTAGAAAGGAGAATTACTTATGAGGACTAGGTCTTTCTGTTTTCCCATCATCAATATTGTACAGACTGCAGTACTTTCTTCTGTGTCCATATAATTTTAATATAAACATATCATTTTTAAACTCAAAAGTAAGGCTATTTTCTATATAACCTGCTTTTTCCTACTCAGTGTATTATGGTCACTTTTTAATGTCAAAAATATATGGAAGTATTACATTCTTTTATTTTATTTTTAAACTAAGCACTGGGCCAGGTAAATATTTCTTAATAAAATATTTCTTATTCAAAAGTTATTATTAATTAACTATTTAGAATGGAAACCCAAAATAGTAACAGTTGATCCTGTTCATGTAGTCAGTATATGTAAAATCTTTCAGAAAATGTTCAAGTTGAGTCTGACAGCTGGCAAAAACAAACTGATTTTTTCTGCTGTCCCTCCTCCCTCTCAAGCGAGTTTCCACTCCACATTAAGCCTCTTAGAACACTGTATAAATTGGTTTTGTTTTGCCTGAAAGGCTCACGCTAGTGTCTTTCTTGAGCAGACATGTGGATGTAGGGGCCTATCTTCTGAGTGTGAGCTTCAGGATCCTGCGGTGCTGTGGTTTAGGAATATTTGTAGGCAGTTCGTGGACATACAATAGTAGTTAGATCATAAATCTAGTGATGGGAGGCAGCATCTAAATAGGAAACTTTAGAATTCTTCAGATTATATTAACTTTGACCATTTTTTAAAACTGGACCAGAAACTGTAGTCACCAGTATAAGAAGGGGCAACTGATAAAACAGGAAGATTTTTATCTGAAATTATTTTTCAAAGGTAAAATCCCAATACAAGGCTGGCCCTAGACTGAGTTTAAGATTATTTCTTCAATAATAAGTTTCAATATTATGAACAGTTAATGAGCAATTATTATTGGCTGAATTAACAAAGAAGGAAGCCCAGGTGATTTAATGTGGAGGAGACATGCTGCAGAAGTAGGGTAATAAAGACATGAATAGTAATCAGTAAATTTTTCAAAAATGATGGATTTGGAGAAAATTAAATTGTCTAATTTTTCCATCCCTAGGGGAGAATTTACATACTATTTGCTTATAACATTGAAGTTAACAAATTTAAATCTTTATTCTTCTCTATAACATCCTTAATTTTAATATAGATATTAATTGACAAATAGAGATTGTATATTTTCAATGTATACAATGTGTTAGGTTTTTAACTTTATTTCCTTTTTAAAATGAAAGTAGTACAATAATGCCAATTTTACTTTTTATATTTTTTAGCTAATTTCTGAAAATTTTATAGTTGATTTCATAATAGGAAAAAGAATAGTTCTCTTCAGTGCTTTCAGTGTGATAACCACTTTTTACAAAATTAATTTAAAAGGGAGACAAAAACCTATGTTATTCAGAAACGTGAAGCAGAAAGCTACAGCAAAAAGGCAAAATACCCTGGTAACAGTGTAAATCCAAATACAAAAGAGAACTTTACTATCACAAATTCCCTTCTAAAGTCAGTAGAAGCACATATTTTAGTAATAAATGCTTAATTTATACTAAATGTAATTACCTTTATTCCTTTTCTTCACTATCTCAGTTGCAAAAATTTCTTTTAGTTTTTGGAATAAAGGCTCTTTATCTATTTCAGCATTAATTTTTATCAAAATATTTTCTGGTTCTGAAAACCACTGTTCCAACAAAGGCCAGTTGTCCAAGAAGCCTATAATTCTGTAAAATCAAAATATTATGTGACTCTGTCATACTGATTCAAAATATTTATATAAATATATATATATATATATATATATATATATTTGACATACATAGCGAAAAAATAGGCTGCAAATACAGATGAACCTGAGGAAACAACTTTTAGAAACCTATAGGCAATGGAACATTATTCAATTTAGATTAAAGAAAAAATTATTTAACGTTACCAAAACATACTTTTTGAGATGAATAAGAGAATGAAAGAAGATTTGAAAATACTGCCAATGCAGGAAACCTTTAGTGTACGCCCAGTTGTCCATTAGAAAATCTAAGGACATCATCTGCACTAATGGTAGTAAATCTCTCAGGACTTTTCTAATGCCAGCTGTAGCCTGATCCACTCAGGTCATCTACATTTTTCTTGGAGATGGAAATTGAAAAGGGTTTTGAATAAGTGCAGTTGGCTCAGACTTACTCACTTTACTCAAAGTATTCCTATAATGATTCTTGAATGATTCTCAAAACTCTTTTTCTCTTTTTAGAGAGTACATAGACTTAATGTAGCTCAAATTACTCTTCTCTAGCTTACTTCTTATTTTTAGACTTCTCATAAAATTGTCTAATTTTTATGAATTTTCTTTTCCAAAAGAAAAAATTGCACAAAACTGAAAGAATGAAACATAACTTTCACATTAGCAAATGTAGTAATGTTACAACTATATCCTGAAATTCATTTTGAAGTTCTAAGATATTTACTGGAATTTCCTAAATGAGCAGAACTTCATACAACTAACTTACAAATTCATGGGACCATAAAAGGAAGTATCTGGTTGAATTCTTCTTATCTCAGAATATAATTACTTGTGCTTTGAATATGAAAACTATCACCTAAATTTTTCACTCAGCACCAAAATTACTTAGCTTTGTTTCACATGTAGGAATATAGGGAAAAATACATAGCTCTGATGATTCTAAAGTGACTGTCAATCTGTTCAAAAGGCAAAGGACAAGATGCAAGACATTTTGCTCAAAACTAACCTATTTTGTATGTGATCTCTTAAGTTCTGGTACCCATGCTTATCTTGGTTTTCAGCAGTGCCATGTTGACCAATATCTTTATGAGCCATTTCATGTGAAAATTCTTCAGCTATGGTATGAAAATAAATGAATTTTAAAAAGGAATCAAAGTTTCTTACTGCTAAAATATACTAATGAAAGATGCCAAATAAATATGATCTTGTTTAACAAAATGTGTAGAGAATACAATTTTAGAATAAATGTTTAAATTTTTCTTGGAAATTGGAGAAAGTAAGGTAAAACACATGAAAAATTAGCTGCAGTTTCAATGTAGAAGATTTAAGATTGACTACTGATACAAGAAGAATTATAAGAGGTTCTAGATTAAATCACAGGCAAGTAGGTGGATGCAGGGAAGAAAGTAGGAGGATTATTTTAACTGTTATCATCAACCTAAACCAACAAAGAAAAAAAAGTGATCCATATTCCTTTGCAGTATGTTGAAGATTAGTCACCAAAGCCATACCACATCTGCTTTTGTAAACAACCAACCAAGCAAACAGCATCAAACACATCTCTTAATGGGCTTTGCCTGTTTGGTGTTATCCTGCCCCTCTTATCTATGGTCAATGTAGGCTCAGTGTAAATAATTTATGTTTCCTCTCCCCAAATTTTTATTATATAATACCCTACCCCCTTTACATCCAGGGGATATTTTTCTGACTCCTGTCTGGCCATGCTACTGGTAGGATAGGAAATTTGTTCTTTTATTTTTTGGCTAACTTCTGTAACAGCTTAATAAACCTTTTATTTCAGAGATATCTTTGTCTCAAAAGTTTAACACTATGAAAAAATGAGGATGAAAATGGATAGATCATTATGTATAACAAATTTGTAGAGAAAAAACATACTGTGAAGTAAAAGTAAATAATGAAATAACAAGGTGTCCATACAGTCAGATATGCATAAAATCATTTGTAGGTAATATAATATCATACCAATTTATGTGTTTTCTAGACTTTTGATTTTCTTGCAAAAAAGACAAAGGAATAGTCCATAAGAGACTGAAAACAAAAACAATCTAAAGATCTTTAACTGAGTCCTATTCTAGATTAGTGGTACAAAATGTGGAACTTGAGTAAATGGAAAATGATAAGCAGGAAAGAAAGATGTGAGCTAGAGTAAAAGGAATTAGAATTACTTAAAAGAAGAGAGTATTCCAAGAGTGAATTAATGGGATTCATGAAAATGTATGACATCACTGGATATTGTAATCAGTTGTTCCCCAGTTATATTTGTGATTGAATAAGATGAAATGGATTGAGAAGACAGAATAATGCTTTTGGTTATTTATAAACCCACTACATCCAAAGCCAGGAAAGAAAACCTTGAACTAGATTAAAAGGAATTAGTATTAATCAAAGCAAAAGAGCATTGAAGAGTGAATTAATAGTGTTGAAGAAAATAAAGGACCCTCACAGTGTAATCAGGATGAGTGATAGAAGAAAACTGTGGGAGTTCTTCTCCGAAGACGCTATCATGTACCATCTCAAGGTCACTACCTTAAATTTGCCAAGAATTTCAGCATATGGATTAAATTCCTCTCTCCCAGGAGACAGAGCTGGCCCCTTTCCCTTCTATTTACTTCCAGCACTCACTTCCATGACCACTGTGTTTTGTGATGGTCTTGAATCCTTGCAATCCTAAAGAGTCATATGCTACTCATTAATTCTGAAGTTTCTAACATTCTGGTGTAGCTAATGAATTCATTTTAACAGCACTGAGTTGTTAATTTCCTACATATTTTGCCCCAAATTTGCCAGTGTTATCCTGTCATTTTTTAGCAAACTTTGATTGCATGATTGAACACTGCAACTTGTCTCCCCATCTAATAATTTTCATTTCCATGTCTTTTAGCTGCTACTCCCCCTTATAATATATTCATCTCTTCCCAAGATTTACTCCATGGTGGTCATCTATGAAGAAAAATATACAATCTTCTATCTCACTTCTATCTCACTAATTTTCTAGCTCAAGACTCAGCTGAGCTCTTTCATGTATATGCCCCCTTTCTAGAGTAAGCAAAGAGAAAAAAATGTGAAAAAACCACTCTATTTTTATACCGTTCCTTTTCAGAGATAAACTTCTTGCTAGTTATTTGCACTCACACCCTCCACCTCCTGGTCAATCATGTGCCTCAACCTGCCTCAATTCATCCTCCCTTCCCCAACTGCAGTGAAATAGTTCTCACTGCAGTCACTCAAAATGAAAACAAGCCAACGGACTTGTTTCAGTCCTTATCTGACGTGATTTCTCTGTCGCATGTACTGTATAGATAGAATTTAGCATACAATTCTTAAAAGCATTTACACATGCTATTTCATATTCACAGAAAAACTTGTGATGTAGGATTGAAATTCTATAATTTGCCCCAAACTTCAGTTTATAAGGTAGTGAAGAGGTTTGATTCCAGTTCATATGACTCCAAACTTTGGACTTCTTTTTCATTTTTTATATTCTTAATTCAAATATATCCACGGAAAAAAGAATGCATACATGAATATACAGCTTGATGAATCCATAAACTGAAGTGTCAGCAAGAAAATAAACATTATCAATCCCAGAAGCTGCCCCATATCCACTTTTAAGTCAGATTGACCTGTTCTCCCATAGGATGGCCATGATTGGCAGTACTCTTGGCCAATCCTCAGCTACTCTGTGAACAGGAATGGGAAATCAGATGAATAAGTAGAATCATCACTACCAAAAATATGGCTCCTACGCCTTTTTACAGGGGGAAGTAACTTCTTATTTTTAATATGATGGACAACATCCAGCTTAAACTTTGAGGCTTAACAGCTGAAATAATATCTAATGATTCCAGTATTTTATTTAAGCAAACAATGAAAACAAGATTTCAAATTATGCAAACTCAAAATGGAGATGGTGTGTCCTTGGATAAGTCAAGTACTCATGTTTTAAATAGCCACCTATAAATAAAAAGCATTGGACTAGATGATCCCTTAGGTCTCTGAATATTTTATTAGTAGTAAAAACTATGAAATAAGAATGATAAATGTTATTATGTATTAAGGGATAGACTCTCAAGCAAATATAAAATGAGGCATGTATAAAAGACATCATTTAATATCTCAATTAATGAGATATCTGGTAACATGTTATAACAAATCCAAATGAGGATTTGCATAGTAGACACATTTACAGGTAATCAGGAATGCTGCAATTAATAGTAATAGATGGAAACCTGGTTATTACTCATAGAGTACTGTAGTGTTTTAAATACTCTGTTTTTTACACTGTGGAAATTAATTATCTCAATTGAACAAAATTCATTTTGTATTTCTATGGACAAGAATCATTTTGATTATTATCAATTTCCTATAATTTATGGAGTTATAGAACAGACAAGCCCAACTCAATAAAAGGCATAGGACCCGAAAGAATCAGATACCTCCAGGTATCTAGTAGAAAATACCTAATTTTTTATTGAAAGACTATCTAGCAATCTTCTCTTCATTTCAAAGTCTTCCACATTTTTTCCTGATGTATTCACTGTGTGCTTATTATCATGTGCCAGATACAATTTTTAGTGTTTAACTCTTAATTTCATGTAATACTCATAACAATTAAATGAGCTGTTCTATCGTATATATTATGAAACTGAGACTTAAAACAATGAAGTCCAGCTGCAGTCCCAGCTACCTGGCAGGGTGAGGTGGGAGGGTCATTTGAGCCCAAAGGTTTGAGTCTAGCCTGGGGCAACAAGGTGAGGCCAAGGTAAATAAAACATCCCCAAGCTCAAATAAAACCATAAGTAGAAAAGCTAAGGTTCAGGAATATGTAATTTTATCCATAAATATTTAATTTGCAAGGTAAAGTAGCATTTTCATTTCAAAGAGAGAAGAGTTAAATAGACCATGAATTTTGGCAAAAATATTCGGTTCCACTATATGAGGACTTTAGTCAACTGCTATCTGCTCCTGACTTATTACATGGTCCAAGAAAAGATGTTACTAAACCCCTGCATAAAGCACACATGTAGTTTATGATCATCACTAGGGTGACCCACCAAGAACCACCTAATAGCCACAAAGGGCTATTTTATTTATCAAGTCTCAAAGGAGAACTCTATGTCAGGGGAGCCACCAGTTTGAAGCAACAGGCAAATGTGCTCAGCTAAAGGATTCTTTGAAAGGCTAAAATGGATTCTTTGTTACAATTGCAAATGGGAACATTCACTGATTTGGGTAAAGAAAAAATAAAGAGATGTGATGTAAAAAAGGAGCTTACCTATGATATCATTCATGCGACTCAGCAAGAAACTATCTGAAATATCTAGTAATATGACAAAATCAAATGCAGAAGAGGGAAGAGGCACTTCTTTTGAAGACATAGGATCCACAGCCAATGTGGATATTTGTGTTTTCTTTGTCTCCATTTCTATGAGGCTTCTATTGCAGCCGATGAGAGCTTCCTCCAGAAGCTGTGTTTGGTTTAATGTCATTGGAAAACCATCAAGGATCCATCCTTGATTCACAGGTATCTCACTAATGTGAAACAGTACAATCCATTAACATTTTGATAGACAAAAGTATTTTAAGAACAATAATACAATAAATCTTGCCTGTATCTTTCTTTCAATTCGACAATATCCTCCTACTGCATGAATTTCATTACTAAAACGATCAGGTTTACCAATATGCTATAATAACTGCCTTGTTTAAAATCCTTCTGTGGGCCTCTGCTGCCTTCCAAAGCTATTCCAGCAGCCTTATCACGGTGTTGAAAATTAACTAGCCACAACTTACTTCTTCATAACTTCTTATCTCTCACAGATTTGAATGTTTACTTCAAAGAAATTGATCTTTTTTCTGTTATGTAAGCACAAATTTCATTTTCTAGTTTGTGTTCACAGGCTCTTCTCCCGTTGTGCCTCAGTTTCCTTATTTCTAATATAACATAGCTCACAGGATGGCTGTGAGGGTGAAATGAAATTATATTTTCTTTCTTGGGGGGGGTACGGGGGATCAAACTCAGGACCTTGCGCTTGCGAGGCAGGCGGTGGAACCACTGAGCTAAATCCCCGGCCCCTGAAATTATGTTTCCATTAAGGCACCACAGACTTAGCATACATTAGATATTCATATTGGCTACCTGGGGAGCTCTTTCTCCTCACTCACTCCTACATGGAGTCACGATAGCCTGAACTCCTCTGACTCTCATTTCTTTCACCATGTAAGTGATACAATCTCAATTTACAATTCTAGTGAGAATTTTTTAAAAATCTCAATTAGGTTTTTTTTTTTTTTAATCTCAATTACGTCATGCCAAAGAATATAAGTTGTTTCTTGGATTTTTCCACTCAATACAATGTATTTTTATATATAATGGATCTTCCAAGAATTATTACTTTAGTTTGCAATTGGAACATAATATGAAAGGAGAATAAACTTCAACTTTCTTCTTCAAAACCCTTAAATTATGCAAAATAGAGATTTGGGCTTTGAATTAAAGGGTATAGTTTTGTTTCTTTCTGTTAGAACTCATATTAAACAACTGAATCCTCTTTCCAACAGTTTCTAAATCTGCTATGGTGCCTATACATGATCTTACTGACAGTGTGGCAGGCAAGAAGGGGAAAAACTAAAGCTCAGAGAGATTTCATTACTTATTCAATGTCATAAAGCTACAAATGTTCTCAAATCCAATGACCCTTCTACAGCATCAAACTTCTTTCAGGCCACTGCTTATACTTTCCCCATAAAGTTATCAAAAGCAGGAAAAGACTGCAGTTTGCTTTTGTAGCATTTCCAGAACTGGGTAAAGCATTTTCATAGTTCGGCCTAAAATGAAGAGATTTTCCTTGAGTTGCTTGCCAGGCATGGGTTTCCCACAGTTAGGAGACCTGGACTTTGGCTTTGGCTTTGGCTATGCCACCAGCCGGATTCCTAACTCGAATACCTCATGTCCCTTTCCTCACTGGACTAGTTCAAAGGATTTCGAACTAGTGACACTCCTTTGGAGGTGCCTTCAAAGTGGTGGTGACAGGATGATAGAGTTCCCATGGTGAGCTATAGATCCTCCAGCTTCATTGAAAGCAAAGTGAAGATCTGTTTCACGTTTGATTCTTTTCCTACCTAATTTTTCCTTGAGCAAAGACTTCCATGGCAGAAGCATGCCTTAAGTCAGTGCTCAGAAATGTTACAACTATTATAATGAAGTCCCTTCCAGCTTGAGGGCAGCAGCCCCGTAGTCCAGTTTCTGGATACTTCATAGCTGAGAAACAATTTAAATATTACATGTACTCTTTTAGGAAAATGCCGAGGGGGAGTCTTTTTCAGACACAGTAAAAATTCTCTAAAATCTGCTTTCTTATCTGTGTCGATGGTTCCCATACATCATAGCTAACTTACACTATTTCTTCAACCACTGTGAACTCTCCAACACTTTCACAGGAACCCTTGTAACTCTTATTCTATCCTACTTGGTGTCACTTCTTTACTATATGGATCACCTAACCCTTTTGCATTTTGACAAGAAAGGCTGAAGATATTTCCTCTTTGGAAAAGAGGACAGAGATTACAAAATGACAAGCTATTTTGATGTTTTCCTTATTGCCTATCTCTATGGTATGCATGTATGTCACTTCCCGCCTCTGTTCCGATCGCTTTCCTGTCCCAGCACTGCTCAGCCTTTGGATCCCTGATCTCAGGATAACTTCTCTTCCTGAAACACAGAATGAGAAATTACAGTGGCCTCTGGATATTCAGTTAGGATCTCTTCTATCATTTGTCCCTTAGCTTTTACAATTATCCAATCTCCTTAAATTCCCCAAAAGTAATAGAACCTGACCTATATTCACATCTGGGCGAGAAAAATCACAAGTGGAAAATAGGAGAAAGTGAAACATTGACACTCAAATTTACTTACATATATAAACCTTTACCTTGCTATATTTTTAAATATTACTAGATATTAAAAACAAAATTCCATATTTCTATATTGTTCTTGATACACTTTTGTGTGATAGAGAATATATTAATTAGATACAAGAAGAAAAATGCAATACATACTTAACAGCATTTACTATGATGTTAACTAATAATGTGTCTGGAATGCTCTTTCCTTTCTTCAGCAACTGTTGTGATTTTGCACCAAGCTGAGCGCGTACAGTGAGCTGTGGAAAGAAAGAGTGAATTGCAAAATCCAACTAACTTAAAAGTCGGATTTGAAATGTCTAGAGGGGAAAAAAACCAGGTAAATGGTCTTTCTGTTTGATGAAGACACTGAGCCTTTAGCACAATTCTGGAGTCATATTAGACTTTTAGATGACCTTTCTACATTTTCTTCTCCAATCTTGCTCTTTAATTTTCAACTATAGTAAAAGTAAAGTAAATGAGGAGTATGAGGGTTTTTTTGGTTTCTGTTTTTTGGTACTGGGGATCAAACTCAGGACCTTGTGGTTGTGAGGCAGGCAGCAGAACCACTGAGCTAAATCCCCAGCCCAAAGTAAAGTAAATGAAACCTCACTTCATTAATCAGGTCCTCCCATTTGATGACAAATAATGCTTCCACATATGGTAAAGCAATACTTTTTGAAATCTTAGTGTCCATTAGAAACAAGATTGAGTAAATTTTTCTAACTACTTTCACAGATTAACAAAAAAATTTTGTAGTGTTACCTAGACTCAGAATAAATTCTGAAAAACTTCCTTAATGATAGAGTGTATCAAAGGAAATTAGTCATAAATTAATAAAGAAAAAAATACAAAAATAAATTTTAAAAATTTAAATTCATATGTATAATTTTTATCTGGCAAAATTGAATAACACTTCTAATTATATGGATTTAGGTGTTTTCTTTCCTTATTTTGGTGAGATTGGCTAAGGGTTTGCCTATTTTATTTAATCTTTCAAAGAAGAAATTCTTTGTTCATCAATTTTTGGGTTTTTGAGTCATTATTTCATTAATAAACACTTGATCGTTATAATTTCCTTCCTTGTACTACCTTTGGGTTTGGATTATTATTTTTCTAGGACCCAGAGACACATCATTAGTTATTTGAGCTCACTCTGACTTTCTTTTTTTTTCTTGGTACCGAGGATCGAACTTGGAACCTTGCACTTGCGAGGCAGGCGGCAGAACCACTGAGCTAAATCCCCGGCTACTCTGACTTTCTGATGTGGGAATGCATTACAATAAACTCTTAGCACTGCTTTCACTGCATCCCATAGGTTCTGGTATGTTGTACTGGCATTATCATTTGATTGTAGAAACTGTCTAATTTCTTCTTTAATTTTATCTGTGACCCATTGATTACTCAAGAGGTTATTATTTAATTCCCATGTGTTTGCATAGTTGCCACAGTGTCATTGATTTCTAGTTTCATTGCACCATAGTGCAATGAAAATATATATGAGGTATAAAAAGTATTAAGAATATAAAGGTTGCCAAATAAACTCAAATTAGGTAACATTTTACAATCAAATTTAATTTAAAATCAAAGAGAACATTGCTATTGCACTCCATTTGATGCTATACCAAAAAGACACAAATTTTGACATATTTTAATGAACTACTAGGCAAAATAAGATTGTAATACTTACTTTAGAGAAATTATTACTATCACTTGATTTGACTTCTTCAGGTTTTGGTGTTCTATTTGTATGTGTACCTAGTAATAAGAAAAGTAGTAAGCATAACTTCAACTATTTACATCTAATGACCCTGTCAGACTTTACTGTTCATGATTTGGACATACGGGTTATCAGATTCAGCTATGTTAGAGACTCAGAAGAATACTTATTCTCATGATACATCATTTAAGATTCTGGACACTGTGTGGCTTGATGTTTTCCACTTTTTCTTTTCCAGTATTATCTAAGCCCATAACATCATTTAAAATACTTTAACACAGTTTGAGTTCTCTTTTCAGAAAACAAACAAAGCTTTTCAAAAAAACATTAAATGATTGATTCCTTCCACTTATATTCTCTTGGATTGTCAAATTTTACATAGTAATAATATTGAAAAACAGGCAATTCTAGAAGTTGGAAGGTGTAGTTAAACTCTATGTGAAAAGTAAATTTCAGTTTACTTATTAAAAATTGAACTTATAAAAATATATCACAAAATACTTTCAACAATTTTTAATCAATTAAAATTATTTAAGGAATAACATAATTGGTGGCCTGAGGATATAACTCAGTGATAGAGTTGCTTGCCAAGAAAGAAAGAAAGAAAAGAAGGAAGGAAGGAAGGAAGGAAGGAAGGAAGGAAAGAAAAAGAGAGAAAAAAGAGGAAAGGAAGGAAGGAAATATATGGAATAAGAGATTGATAATGTCTTTCATTTTCTTTTTTGCAGCACTATAGGTTGAACCCTGCGCTTCCCCACTGAGCTATATTCCCTCCTCTGGATTTTTTTCTTGAGACAAAGTCTCACTAAGTCCTTAAACTGGTCAGGCTGTGCTCAAGTTTGTGATCCTCCTGCCAAGCTTCCAAGAGTGCTAGAATTACAGATATGTACCTCCACACCTGGCTTCACTTAATATCCCTTTAAAAATGAAAAAACCCTATCTGTTGTAGGATGATTTCATGCTTACAATAAATCTACATATTTTTTCCTTTGGTAACAATGACAGTGATGACTACACAGGACGTTCTGAGCTTTATACTAGAATATAAGGAAACTAATGTGGCAAAGCCTTTGCTAGCTCAAATTGCAAAGATGTTTAATAATTAAAATTATTTTCACTAAAAGAATTTTCATTAAAATGGTTCTATAAAGGGTCTAAAGGATGAAAGTCTAGATCAATAGGGAGAGAACTTTTTGTTAGGTTTGTGAAGCTTGGTTATATTGGTCTTACTGAGAATAGCTTTATGGAAAGGAATCACTGTCTTTGAGAGTTGGAGAGGCCAGACCCCACAGCTTCCCTTGGTAGAGTGTGAAGCAACAATATGTGGAGAGCCCAGTAGTACTCAGGATGAGAAGAAACAATGAGATACCAGGAAAAAGTGCAAAACCAGGTAGGGTAAGGACGATGTCTCCTGCTTATTTTCATAAGAAGAACAAAACTGAGCAACTATTTGACAGAAGAGAGTGAAAAGATTTCTGTTATAATTTTCATCTTTATCCTCAGTTGTAGACCAGAGTTGCCTTGTCCGCCCTGTCAAATGACCATATAGACAGCTATGCAAGTTTCCCCTTCTCTCTTGCTTTTTTTTCCCTAAGAGCATGATTGTGTGCACATACATGTGCTCTTACTGCTCATCTGTCTGTTGCTCTAATGTAAGCAATGCAAGCTTTTTGATATCTTACTTACTTCTTGTTTCACCTTCTGTTTCTGGTAATGATTCACCTGAAACTGGAGCATCTGAAGATACGTTGTGTGAGTCCTTAAGGGAGAAAATACACACATACATACACATACACGCACACACGCAGATTTTAACATTGTCATATTTTCATTACCTTTCTGTTTTACTTCTGTACATAAAAGTTCAATAATAAATATACTATTGTAACTATATTGATGATATTAATGATATTAGTTGATATTAAATACTAATGATATTAAAGAGGATTGACATTTCAGTCCTAAGTGATGGTTTTCAGGAACAAAATTTGATGGTTACTGCACTTACAGAAACACAGAAAAACTATGAAATAATGTCTTCCAATAGCTTTCAATTTTTTTGAGAATATAGCAATTGCTATTTTAATAAAATGGAACCTGAGAAAAATATAAAATTTATGGAAAATAATCTTAAAAAGAACAATCCTAAAGGACTCAATCATAGCCATAGGGATATTTGTCTTAAAAATATATTATCCATTACCCTATTGATTAGTATCAGAAGTGCACCACAACATGGAAGAAGAGAGTCCTTTCACCATTCCCTTAGTTATTTTATTTTTGGTTAAGTGGTATTTATTTTTCAGACTATGCAAATGATCTGGATTAGATTATCTGCTAATTTAGTCAGCTGCAAAAACAATAAAAAGTACGGGAGAGTGTACTGGATTTATAATCTGGAAACCCCAAACAGAGAAGCTACCCACATTTTTTTTTCACTGATCAAACCAATTCATGTTTGGGGTCTCTACTCTCTCTCTAAAACAAAGGGACTAGATTATTAAGGATTCCTAAAGTGGGGCCACAGGCTTCTATCCGCCTCTCCAAATACCCAAAGATCTTTATGCAATAATGAGAGACAATGCAGAAAGGAATGTGAAACAGGCAGATTATGGGAATATGATACAGATAAACCATACAGAGAACTACCTTCCCCTCTCCCACTGAGATCTAGCCATATGTATCATGGGTTGGTTATGGACAAAATTCATCTAGTCTGACTTTTTATATGATTCCTCAAGCAGCCGAGCACTGTGAATCTGGAGACCAAGTCAGGTGACCTCTCTACCCTTGCACCTTCCCTACTGGGCAACAGTATCTGCCTTGGTCATGTGCAGGCCTAGCACTGGTCCCCAACTATGTGCTGGAGACTGATGTTGTCAACTGTCAGACACAGTTCAGTGGGATCTCAATCAGGGAGTTACTTATTTGTGTGTATATATGTGGTACTGGAGATTGAACACAGGGCCTTCCCATGAACACTAAATCTCAAGTCTTTCTTTTTAATTTAATTATTTAATTTTTATTTTATTTTATGATTTTGAGAGAGTCTTACTCAGTTGCTAAGTTGTCTAGGTTGGTCTCTAACTTGTGATCGGTTGCCTCAGCCTCCCAGAGTGCTGGGATAATAGGCGTGTGGATAATAGGTATGCCACTTCTTTAGTTCCACCAAACACTATGCTACTCTCCTAACCCCCACAATTCAGTCACTCCACCTACCTGCACTCACTAGCCAGTGGCTCCTTCTGACAGATGACCACTAGGTACAAAGTGAGCCCACCACTAGGGAGCATGCATGCAGGAAAAGCAGTGTGTGAGAGATGGGCAGGAGTATTCTTTCTTATTATGTAAATACCCACATAATATCCTTGATTTCTTCCCTTGGCCCACAAAAACCTAAAATATGTACTTTCTATATCTTTACTGAAAAGAGCTCTGGTCTAGAAGATCTTTTGGATTCCATCCAGCTTTGTATGTCTACTATAAAAGGTGCAAAGAAGAATCTTTAAATCATACTTGCCTGGCTTTCTTTACTGTCCTTCTGCAGATCTGATGGAGACTTTCCACCTTCTTTCTGAATTGGTAGGTCCCCACTGACTTCTTCATTGTCATAAAATGCTTGGATAGCTTCTTGGACAAGAGTGTCTACACAAAGTACCTGAATAGGAAACTCTAAAGTAAAAAAGATAATTTTATAAATAGCTTCTCATCTGGGAAGTTGACATCACTTCCTTGGGTTCTGGCTTTTGGATTGAGTTGCCTTTTGGGGTGAGGGGTTGAGATAGGGTTTCACTTTGCAGTACAGGCTGGCCCTGAACTCACTATGTAGCCCAGGTTGGCCTCGAACTTGTGTGCTCCTCCTACCTCTGCCTCCCAAGTGCTGGGATTCCAGGTGTGTGCCACCATGCCTGGTTTAAACTGCCTTTGAAAAATTATGATAAAATTAAAATAGCATAAAGTTTACCACTTGAATGGAAGCACAGTGGCATTTAGACATCCACGATGCTGTGTAACCATCACAACTGCCTTGTTCCAGAAACTTTTCATCACCCGCTAAAGAAAATACATATTCATTAAGCTGTCACTCTCTATTCCCCTAATGATTCCCCTGGCAACTAGTAATTTGATTTCTATTTCTTTGTATTTGATTTCTGTCTCTTTGTTTTGGATATTTCATATAAACAGAATCACACATAAAGTAACCTTGTGTATCTGGCATCTTTTGCTTAGTATAATATTGTCAAGATTATTCATGATAGCCTATCAATATCTAACTCATTTTTAGGGCCAAATAATTATGGACTGGACAATGTTACATGATTATACCATTATAAAGTTTTGATGACAGATATTTCTCAATCAGCAGAGCTTTCTGTATGCTTTCTATACACATAAATATTTGCAACTAGAGTCAGTACAAATAAAATCCAATAAGGAAGAAGTAAAAGAAGAAAAAGAAAAGGAATTTTACCTCTTTGTAGAGTATTTAAAGTGATAGTTTTCCCACTAAGTGTTTTCCCCAGTACGCATCCTTTAATAGCAAATGAAGGCATTTCGGGCTCTGTTGGCTCAGCTTGAGGAGGAAGAGATTTTTCAATGAGTCTGTGAAGCACGTGGCCCAGTATGGAATTGTTGGAGGGTGGTAAATTATCCACCATTTCTTCTGGTACAGTCCACTCTCCAACCATGTTCTATAAAAATAACAATTGAACAAACAAAGCAAATGCATTCTTAAAAGTGAAATTTAAGCAAGAAAAACTTCATTAAAAGTAAATTCAAATAATAGCAAATAAAATCTCATTTATACTCTACATCAAAGAAATAACATAAATTATACTTTCATATTAGAGAGTAGAAAAATAAACTTCCTACATAAAATAGAAAAAAAAGTCAAAAAAGTTTTAGTTTATAGAAATAGCTATTTTGAGTTAAGGACATATTTTAATCTAGGCTGAACACTGAAACAATGAAAATTGATATTATCATCAGTAAACAGAAAACGCAGTATGTAATAGTTTATATACTATCTTAAAAAATAAGCTTATTTTAAAATATTTTAAAGTTTGAAAAGATAATTTTCAGGCCCAATAGATTGTTCTCAAGTCTACCTTATTTGACTCCAATTTTTCTCAGATTTCTTGCTGAAGAGATCAAACAATTAGAGGAAGAGTTAAAAAAAAACAAAATAGTGTTATACAGATCACTTTCTCTGACAAATTGAGTTTTAAAAGATGAAAAATGTAAGTATTTAAAATTAAAAACATTTAAAAATAATTCTTATATTAGAGAAGAAATTAAAACTATAAAATATGAAAAGAACATTAAAGCAACAATTTTATTAAAAAATAGGATGGGATCAAATTATAGTCTGGAAACTGCATAGCTATTTAGCCTAAAATACTTTGATCTAGACCAAATCAAAAAGTAAAAAACAAAAACAAAAAACTAAGCATTATTATAGGATATAAATGTAATTTTAAATAATTAAAAGAAACTAAGAAAGGGAAATATAAAAATGGAAATTGGAGAGTAGAGTAACCTAAGTATACCTTATTGATACATGTCTAGAACTTTACCACATAAATCATGATAATGAAGCTGCTACTAGGGGCTGGGGATTTAGCTCAGTGGCACTGCACCTGCCTTGTAACCCCAATGTCCTGAGTTTGATCCTCAGTACAAAAAAAAAAAAGAATGTGCTACTAGGTTAGTATCAAAGTGAAGAATCATAAGTATCAATGTTGTAACATAACTTGAAAGAAAGTAGCAGGATATTTTTAAGGAGACCTATAAATTGTTAATAAAATGTTATATATGATTGATTAAAATTAATTTAAATGAAACATCTGAAAAGATAAAAGCCATGAAAGAAATGGAAAAGTTGCTAGAAAACTATGTTACAGAAACTTGAAGACAGCAATGGTATTTCTTAAACAAATTTAGATTTTGTTCTAAGTCTTCTAGAATATGTCAGGAAAATAGAAATCTCTCAGTGCATTTAATAAGGCTAATATTACTCTTACACACACACACAAAAACAAGTATCCAAGATAATTGACAAAAAAGCCCTGTAAGCCAAACACAGTTGGAAATAATTTGCAAAAAATCATACATCTGATTATAAAATCATTATTATATTAATAGGCAGTAAATTTTAAACAGGGATTAATTGGCATTGATCATACACTCACTGTGTATCATATATAGTCATTTTCATAAATTATCAAAAATGATTCTCATACAATTCTTACATAAACATCATTGTTGTCTTCTTGGTTCTGTAAAAGAAAAACTTGAGTATTACAAAGGCTGTTACTTTTCTATAGCCACCATACAGAATAACAGCAGGATCTAAAATGTAATCCAGGCAGTCAGATTCCAAAGTCTGAGTTCATAATTCATGTTCTATATTAACTTTGTTTCACCACTACTGAATGAGAGTAATTTCATGATTATAAGGAACGTTAAATATTAGAAAACCTATTACTATATGATATTAACATGTAAATTTTTGAAAGTGTATGTTAATTTTTACAAGAAATATCTGATTATTGAATTTATTTCTAATTTAAAAAATACAAATTTGAGTTTTAAATTATCTTAGTAAGCTACAAGTTGAAAATGACTCCCTAGCATTCTTTGGGCCAAGGTGCAAGGAAGAAACACATTTTTCCACTAGGGGCAAGAACAACAACAACAAAAGATACTCATCATTAACATTGATAACACATTATTCTGGAAGTTCTAGCCAGTGTGACACATTAAGAAAAAAGATGAAGCAGCTGTGATCCGACAGGAGTAGTGGGTGATGCAGAGAGAGAGAGTCTGTGGTACAGAGTGGCAGCTGAAACCTGAAATGCTCTGTGGTGGTGATGGCAGGGGACAGTCTTCTGTTGGTCCTTGCTGGGATGCTTCTGGTCATTTTCCTTGGGAGTTCAACCTTGAGCTTGGTTCATTTGCTGATTCTTCAATCTACCCAACATATTTTAAATATTTTTTTTACTACATACTCAGCAAGAGTCAACTTTTGGTGCTAGCAAGCACAAACTTTGGTAAAATCAAAGTTATCAAAATATACAGACAGCCTCTATTCAGAAAGCTTCAAAACTACTGAGGCTAAATCAGAAAAATTATGAATAAGAAGCTGAATAAAAGGTCCCAAATTATAAACCCCTTAATTTTCCCTCAAATAAATCTAACTTAATGTTAATGAAAACAGAAGTGTGTCATTTTTCCTCTGCAGAGTTATTTAAGAAATGATGTCAAAGTAGAAAAAGAAATTTAATGGATAAAAATATCCATTAAAAAAGAGAATAATAAAGGACTATTGTCTTACCAGGTAATAAAGCCCTTATTAAAAAACTAATGAAAAGAATATTCAGTACACAAAAATATAAATTCTAGAAACAGATATACATAAGAATTTAATGGGTAATAAGGTTTGCATTTCACATTAGCAGAGAAAGAATAGATTATTTTACAACTGGTATTTGAATAACTTGTCATATTTTTGTAACAAAATAAAGTTAGATATCTGTATTCTTTTTAGGAAAATAAATTCCAGAAGAATGAAAGGTGTAAAAAAATCATAAAGGCATCAAAATTTGGGAGAATAATTATATGTTCTAGGATTTTTTTAAAAAATTCTTTTATTGGTATATTTTAGATACACAGTATGTTTATATTTATCATTGGGTACTTGTACCTGTACATGATGTATCTTGGTTCTTATTTTTTCCCCATTCCCTGTGCACCCTTCCCTATTTACAAAGACTTTGTTCCCATTTTTTCCTTTTCTCATAATTTTTCCTTTCCCTCCTTTCCTTTCCCCTTCCCCTCCCACTTCTCCTCCCCCTTTGGACATTTTCTTCCTATTTCAAATTATCAATTATTCATTTTAATCATTTTAATTCTTATTTACACTTTCAGTTTCTAGGACGGTTTTTGAAACCTAATATCAAAGGTGGAAACCACAAAAGAAAAAGTGCCAAATTTGATTGTATAAAAATAAAATCTTCTGAATCTCTTCAATCGCACAAGCAACATGCACCCCCAACACACACACACACCTCATACACACATTAAAAATAAAGAACAAAGACAAAATATCAGCAATACATATACATATATTCGGCAACAGGTAAGAATGTTAGTATATAAAAAGCTATAATAAGAAAAAGAAAAATAATAGAAAAAGGCAAAAAATATGAACAGGAAAATCACAAAGCAAAATAAAATGTCCAATATGTTTATAAAGAAATGTTCAGAATTATAGTAATAAAGGGTATGCAGAGAAAATATTGGTGCAGCTTATTTTGCTGAACACAAAAAGATTGTCTGATTTCTCATTTGCTGTTCTTGGGACGGTAAATTAGTGCTTTGATTTATTGTATTTTCTAAAGTGTCCAAAGTTGCCAATACAGCAATGCTATATAATAAAAATAATGAAGAAATGTGACAGATAAGAATTATGATTTTTTATTTAGATACAAAGTTGATGGAAAATATTAGATAAAATTGCATTTTTGAAGTCTCATGAAGATCTTTAAAAATGATCTCCACTACGTATAGAATATACTTAGTAACAAGCACAAATGAAAATTTCATTACATTCAGCCCACAATCTTCAATTTATTATTTAATCTACAATCTATCAGAAACAAAGAGTAGAAATACACATCATTTATGATGTATTTTATGATTATTTTAACATACTTGTCAAACTCTTCATCTTTAAAAAATTAACATATTGTTTCAGTGGTGCAGAAATGTCAACTTACACAGGATATTGGAATACTGAAAATTATTAATTCCAACATATGTTAACTTTAAAAAATTTTGTAAGTTTAACCTAAATCTTGTCAAAAATGATCAGTTCTACTAGCAGTTCCCTTATTATGTATTAGTTGCCCCCCAAATCCTCTTCATTTACTCTTCCCAGTACCAATGTTAATATTGAAGATAGAAAAACATGAACAATTGGGAAAAAAAATGAGCCACCTCATTAACATGTTTTGATGAAAACCAAAGAGAGAACAAAAATAAAACAGAGTACTTTACTTTTTTGTCGTTATTGTAAATACTAGGAATTGAGCCCAGGAACTTTGCTTTCAGTTACATCCTCAGCCCTTTCATTTTTATTTTTAAATTTTGAGACATGGTCTAAGTTGTCAAGTTGCTCAAGCTGGCTCAGTGTTGTGATCTTCCTGCCTCAGCCTCCCAGGGGCTGCAATGGCAAGCATGTGCCACCGTGACCTGTAATCTTATATTTCTTTATGTAACACTACTCAATTTCCTCTGGCCTAGATTGCCTGTTTTGCCTAAAATAGTTGTTTTTGTCTTTTCAAGTAGAAAAGTAGGTCTCATTGTTCTGACTATATGTGTATGATTTAGCTCTTTTCCCAATCATGTTCTAGATGGATTTCTTTTTTTAATCCATTTTTGAATTAGCCAAATTAAATCATGAACTTGAATGCCATTTGTTCGTGTAAGCACTATGATGAGTAAGTGACATGAGATTTACAAGTATTACTTCACTAAGTAATGAAAAAGTCACATCTTTCACTTATACAAGGGCCTTCATGTTACATCATTTGTCCTTACATAGCCACTTAAATTGACAGATCTAGTGTATGCATGGAGTGATTTTTCTAAATATCTTCAAGTAAGAACAACTTGGGTTAATCGATCA